CGGAGTTAGTGAACAGTGTCTAGAACTGGGTGGGAGGATTCTTTCTTATTTAAAACCTAACCCCAAAAAGAAATAATACAGGAAAAGAGGCTCACAACTATTTGCTAAAGCATCGACTAAGCACTTTGAGAAAAACTTCAGAATTGAAAAAAAAAGAATTAAAGGGAGAAAAGCAAAAAAAAACCTGTTAAAAAAACAGAAAAATGGACTTTTAAGCCGAGCAGGCGTTGTTCTGGAAAGGCATTTTAAAAATACTGGAACTATTTACCTAGAAAACTAACTTTGTTTTCTATATTTTGAGTTATAAAACTGGTTAACGTTGAAATCTAAACTGAGAGTGCCATCTGCTGACGAAAGGAAAGTATAACATACTCTTAAATCCTGGAAAATTCTGACAAGGATATGTTTTATGCACCTATGTTGTGACTGCTGGAGATTTAAATATGAGAATAAGGAAGATTTTTTCATTAAAGAGACCCCTGAATGCTATGATACAAGATTGAATGCATAAAGGGGATTTAAAGAGATTCTGGAAAGCTTTTGGGATTATTTAAAGGAACAGATTGATTAACTATGGAATACAAAAATTGTGAACATTGAGTTCTTTTTGGGGAGTGACTTTAGGTTTGATTATATGGTTTTTGGATTACTGGACAAGAGCGGGACTTATTAAAACAAGATGAGCTGTTACACCAGGATGAAATGAGTGGAATTTGGGAATAAATGATGTCAATGTTTCAAAACATCAAGGATATTCTGATAAGAAACCACAAGGAGATTAAGAATTTAATATATGGCATGGATGAAAAACTAGGAAATATTATACAAAGAACAATAAGTGATCAAGATGCCCAGGAAAAGGAGGAGCCAAAACAATAATGACTGATTAAATAAACCAAAGGGAAAACATTTTAAGAGATTTAAAAAGGAAACCAGAGATGCAGGAAGACATTTTTGAAAGGGAGACAGGAGCAGGGCTAGATATTTTGGAAACTAGATATTGGAAAAGGGCAGAGATGGGAGAAATGTTTAAAATGAATAGTCAGGACGTAGAATGATGCAGATAGGGATAAAGATCCAAGAGAGGAATATGGGAGGCAAGTTAAAAAATGAACAATTAAAGCTTTAAAACGGTCAAGAGATGACAGATAGAAAGGATTTGTTCTTAAATATAATGGTGGCACGATTAAAAGTTAGAATAGGGGTAGAAATAAGGGAGAGGGGGAATATTAGTATACACATTTGTATACAATAAGTTAAAAGTAATAGTAAGAGGGAAGATTAGAAATTGAATGATGGTATTATTATGTATGTTTAAACAATATTGTGATTGGCATTGGAATAACATATTGAAACATTGAATTAAATTAAATAATTGTTCTGACCTAGGCTTCCTGAGTCAGTAAAACACACGAATACTCCTAAAAACCTCTTTTATTGCAACAGCTGTGAATTCTGCTCATTCACAGATGAGTCCCAAATAGTTGTAAAGAGTCCTTTGGGATAAGGCTGATAATCACCCACCTTTATCTCCCTTGACACGCTGCCAAAGACCTAATTGGCAAAGCCACACGGAGTCCAGAATCAAACAGAGCTTCAGACTGAACAGAACTGAACAGAATTAACAACGTTGCTTCCTGCAAAGGTGTTGTGGCCCGTCAGCAGCCTGTGCAGATTGTAGCTGATTCCGACAACGAGGAGGCTGGTATGGTGCTGCGCCAGCAGACTGTGCAGCTGGCGCTTGAGTCGGACAGTGAGGAGGCTGGAGAAGATGTGGTGTCAGAAGCAGGGATGCAGCCAGTGCCTTCAGAACCTCCAGAAGCTCCTTTAAGTGAAGAGGACAAAGAGGAGGAGCCTCTTCTCAATGCACAGGCATGCAGAGCTGCCAAAAGGCAGGAGTGGCTCCTCAGGAGGAGGTCTCCTTGAGAATAAGGTTTGGGGCTAATTGGCCACTCCCTTAGCCTATTTAAGGAGGAACGCCGATTGCAGCAAGCTGTAGGGAACAACTTTAGTTCACTCTCCTTCATGTCTGGATTCTCTGCAAAATTGCTTCTGTGCTTTCTGCCAACCCTAGTAAGACTGTGATTACCTTATCTTAGAATTCTTGTAGGCTGTTAAGAAAGTTTATTAACAGCCTTTGGTTGAAAAAGACTGAGTTATTTGAGTAAAATAAGCTTTGTATAGATTTTGTGTGTGCTGCGTTCTTTGGGGTCCGTAGCTGGGGCAGAACAAAAGGCCTAAGTGCCTTTGCTCCTCTTTTAATCTTATGGGAGGGGCCAATCATCTCCAAGCCCTACTCCTAAGTCATCCATTTTGTTTTAACTGTTCTTGCCTTCTGGCAGCTCTGCGCATGCGCGCACTGGGAACAGGTTCCCCCTATTCCTCTGCCTTGCTGAGATCTGACACTGGAGACTCCGGAGGCAGCATGTACCTCTCAGATGGCCCTTTCTGTGCCTCCAACACAGAGCCCTCGTCCAAGTCTTCCCCAGCCTCCAGGACTGGCCTATGTTCCTCCCCAACCTCCTCACTGTCCGACTCTTCTGCCAGTTCCGCAGGCCACCGGCGGACCACAACAATAATGAAAGTTTATAATTTAATACAAATATGTGTATTAACACTAGAATTACATAAGCCTGAGGAATGTAACAAATATGATTAATATCACTATTTTTATTTGTATTAAAATGTATATGTAGATGGGGATAAAGATTCAAGAAAGGAATATGGGAGGCAAGTTAAAAAAATAAACAATCAAAGCGGGCAAGAGATGACGAATAGAAAGGATTTGTTTTTAAATATAAAGGTGGCATGATTAAAAGTTAGAATAGGGATAGAAATAAGTGAGGGAATATTAGTATACACATTTTTATACAATAAGACAAAAGTAATAATAAGGAAGATTAGAAATTGAATGATGGTATTATTATGTATGTTTAAACAATATTGTGATTGGCATTGGAATAACATTGAAACTTTGAATAATTAAATAATGAAAGTCCATAATTTAATACAAATATGTCTATTAATACTAGAACTACATAAGCTTGAGGAATGTAACAATTATGATTAATAGCACTATTTTTATTTGTACTAAAATGTATGATACCCAGATGCCACACTGTTCATGCATTGATATGGATATATTGTAAAATAAAATTAAAAAACTTGGAAAAAAATGGTGTAACTGCTTGCAGTTAAGCTGCCATCCTATTTGATTAGTTTTATTAGTTTTGATTAGTTATCCTTTCAAAAGGATTTGGCATTTGTGCAGAATTAGAAATATTATGGTCCTGGAAAATAGTAAATTCTACAGTATCTAAAATTGATTTTTCAGTTTGAATATCTAGAGATGGTTTTATTCATTACAATCTGTTCTATACTGCAGTATCTTCTGACAGATCTCCCAAATCTACCCTTATAAAAATGTATCATAGATTTCTTTTATATCCCTATTTAGGACTCTCTATTGTATTAAAAAAGTACAATCACAAAATATATATGTAATGATGAAGTAAGCACTAGCTAATTGCTTGTCACAAAATTGTTTTTAAAAAGTATGAATAAAAGCTGCAGGAGAAATGTAAAAAATGTGCACATTTTTATACAGCCCCTGCTTTTTGCGGGAGAGGGGAAAGGAGCAAACACATAAATCACTAGAGAAATTGGCTGGAATAAACTTATAAAAATGATGAATGGGGTGGATATAAAATTGGTAAGAGTCAGCCATTTGCAATATACTATCATAGTTGATTCCTGTATAGCCATGAATGTGAAACAAGAAAAAACTGTCCTTTATTTAAAATCTGTTCAGCCACTTATCTGCATGTTCTCTATCATGCAAATATAAAATAAGCAATAAAGATATTTTTACTAAAAGTAGTAATATACAAGATACAATTGTGAAAATAGCACTTCATTTTATTAAAAATAATCATGGATCTCAGTAATGTATATCTGCATGGACATACATATAGTTAGGTTCACAAAATAACTTTTATATTACTGACTTTTATACTATTGCTTAAAAAAATATACTCGACTCAAAAATGGGTATCAATATGGGTATCAATATCATATTTTAAAAATCAAAATATGTTGATTTTTAAAAACAAAATAAAACAGTGTATTTAAAATACAATTCATACTCTCAATCTCAGGTCAGAATTTAACTCCTGAGTTGACTATTGCAACTGCCCAGTGTCTTTTAGTGGAATCAAATATTTTCAAATTGCAATAATCAAACCTGGAAATGCATCTGATACTAAAAAATATATGCATGCCTTAAGTAGGTAGGATTGCCTGCAGGTAGGATTTTTAAGCTAAATAAATGTTCTAATGCATTTATAGTGGGATTGGGGTATATACTCCTAATAATATCTGCATATTCAGTTTTTACAAAACAATAAAAATACAAAGGTATTCTTCTTTTCAGATCTATGGAACAATGTCTTTTATTTAATTTTGATTGTTTTTGAGCCTTTTATTTCCAGGTTCACTAAGTGTTCAAAAACAGCATTTTGCCTGTGCAGTGTGCATTGTATATTAAAAGAATAATCAAGTTTAAGGAATTTAATAAAGGTAGAATTGCAGCTCAGTTGCTTTTTCACAGATCTCAGAAATGCTGAGGTATATCCTTTGGGATTAGCAGCTGAAATATGCTTGTACAACATTTACGCCTGATATTTGCATTTCATTTACCTTCAGGATTCTGTGCATACTCTATCATTGCCAATATTCTAAATATTCTAAATATCAGTGGATCAGAATGTAACATTTATTTTCAATAAGGTTCCTATGTGAATCTACTTACTTGAATAGCTAATCTTATTACTTATTACTATTACTGTTCCTTAGAAAATACTCTTTTGTGTTTAAAATAATTTTGATATTTATGAATAGGAATGTTTAATTTATGGAAAACATGAAACAAAGTATTCCATTTTTAACTCTGTTAAAGGTGTTCATTATTCTGTGGTTCATGAAATGTGTTTTCTTAAAAGGAAATGCCTACCGTTCTGCTTACTCATCAGATGGACAGACATGAAGGGACATGGACTATTTTACCATTAATGCATGAGTAAGTGTAAAAACAAGGTATGACATTGTGAACTACAGGCTCTTGGAGTTGGAAGGGATCATTTAGGCTGTTAATTTTCATCCCACTGCTGCGTTCATGAATCAATCTCCACTTAAAAACATCCAGCAAAGGAAAGCTCTCTTCTTTGATAATTGGTTCCATGTCAAACTTACCATTAAGAATTTTTTAGAAACTGCCTTATACTGTAAAAAGAGCATTAATTTGTGTCCTGCACAAATATGTTGATAAAAAAATAGATCTTGGCTTTTCATATGACAATTTTTTAGACACTCAAAGAGTGCTGTCATAGTCCCTTTCAGTTTTCTTTTCTCAATGGTGAATATGTCCGCTTTCCTCAGTCTCTGCTGGTAAGACTTAATTCCAGAACTTTGATCATCCTTGCAGACTTTCTTTTCATGTTCTATAATTTTTCTGTATCTTTTTCAAATGTGTTGCTCAGTAATGAATATGGCTCTGAAAGTGCAGCTTGGCCAGTGCAGAAGATAACAGAATTGTTTCTTCTGATAATACCAAACTTTTATTTCTGTTAATGTAAATTATACTTCTACTGTATTGACTTTGCCTTTTCAACTTGCAGTTAACTACAATCGTACCTCACCCTAGTTTAATGAAAGGCTGTCACTGACCGATCTTTGTACAGTCTTTGTCAGTGAGCATTCTTTCAAGCCAACTGTGGCTCCTTCCAATGGACTTCATCCCACCTTTATAGAATGTTACAAGATACTTTATCAAATGCTTTGCTGAAAGTTAAATTATATTATATCCATATTATTCCTATGATTTGCTAAACTAAAGAAATTACCTAATTGAAAAGGGAAATAATATTAGTGTGATTACTTCTTGATAAATCCATATATACTTCTGGCAACTAATAAATGGTGTTTTGAGGTGTTTACAAACGGTCATTTTGTCATCTGCTCTATAATGTCCCCTGGTATCCATTACTCTATTTCAACCTTAGAAAAAGACAGGAAACAGTTTACCTCCTCTAGCTATCTGGTTCTTTCCACTTTCTCAAAGATAATGGATAGAAATTGAAATTCCTTCAGTCACCTAAGATGCAGTCTATCAGGTTCTGGAGATTTAAGCATATTCAGGGTCAGTTGTTCTATGCCTTGTTTTCTGTCAGCTTTCAGGTAAATCCTGCCCTTCAGTCAACTCTTCACAATCTCCTGACAGAATGCACTTCAGAGGACACTGAACCAAAATAGTAGTTACGCTTGTTCTTTGCTATATCTCTTACCATTTTCACTCTGAACAGTTGAAACACTATTCCATTAAAATTTAGAATGTAACTGAAAAGGCCCTTAATGGTCTTATTATCCTTCATTAATCTCATTCTTGTTCTGAATTTTAGCTTTCCTGATACAATACCAGACTATCCCTATATGCTTTTTTTGTGATGATTTTCCACCCCCTATATATATTCTTTTTTATTTTCAAATCCTTATTAAGTTTTTGTGTAGCTTCTTTTAGTGTAGTTTCTTTTTTGCCTCATTGAAATTATTTTCAGTAGTACTTTTGGTATTTCATTTTTAGACACTCTTACCAATCATGAATTTATTTTCCCATTTGCATCTTCTAATATCTGAACTTACTGATCATTACTCTGAATTTATTAAAATCCAGCTCTTGAAGACATGTTTGCTTACATTTAGTTTTAGTTTCCCTTAATGTCCAGAATCCTTCCAATGTTCCTACTATTTTCAATTCATCAACTAAATCTCTCCTATTTGGTAGGATCAAGTCAAGAATAGCAGATCCCATTATACCTTTCTTCACCTTTTGAGGGAAAAAGCAATGAGCAAGACAGCTCCTACATTTCCTGGAAGAACCATCCTTGGCAGTGTCTCTCAGTGGATGTCAGGTAATTCTAAAGTCTAAGAAATTCTAAATTCTAAAATCTCTTGGTTCTTTGAAAGATTGGCAGTTTGGTTTAGAGTACATCATTAACATTTTTTCTTGATTTGTGATTGGCAGGAGACATCAGCAACATCTGTTGTTATTCCTCTATTTATTTTGGTCTAGATTCTTTAAGTAAGGCCAAGTTCATTCCCTTGGATCTCTGCAGTATTTTCAATATTTAGTGGAAATTTGCCTCCTTTTCTAAAAATTCTGTTTATTTTGAACAAGCTGTGTTCATGAGTTCCTGTGCTGTAATCATGAAAATCATCCCAGTGGTCTCAGTTATACCATACCTATTAAATCATATGTACTAATCTTATCTTGTTTATCAGTCATAGTCTGAGCATTAGTATATAGAAAATGAAGAACATGCACTTTGTAAGAAGATGTTATCTTTGAGTTTTCATTGAGTCATTGAACATAACAAGTTTAATAATTATTTATTTCTACAGTATCAATTATTTATTTCTACAGTATACAGAATATTAGGAACTTTAAGTTATATATATATATATATATATTCTCAATTACCTTAAAGTTGTCTTAATCAGACATGTTTGCATCAAAAAGTATTCTGAAGCTTAGTATATGTATATAAAATCAAAGGATCAGAGTAAAATACCAGCCCATAATACTGTACACCCAGATTTATAAAACTATTAAGTATTCGTATGACTAACAAATAAACCATCATGATATACTATTGTATGAAGAGGGGAAGGTTAAACTTAAAAGTGCATTTATAATTCTGAAGGGCTTTAAAATAGTCCATTAATAATCCATGTAAACGGACATAAAATCAAATTTGTAAACTTCTGGTCTATAGTACATGAGTTAAAACACAATGGAATGCTGGAACTGCTATAGAAATTATAAGGAACTCCAGCTAAACGTAAGATGTTTATTTCATTGGTGGACACACAGAAAGTTGGTATCCTGTTACAATAGCTACTTCTGTAACTAGCTATTGTGCTGGAATATTATGCTTCCCCTTTCTAGTCATCTGTGGACTATGAAAGTTTTGGCAGTTTCTCCATCATTTGCCTAATCCATGCTCCCAGACATTAACACATAAGTTACTCTATCAGACAGGTCCTAGAGTAACCAATTATTATGATTTTCTTATCCTTTTACTGATAGCAGCACATCCCCTCTGCTTTTCAGGACTGTCATCCTCCAAAGATTGAGAGGCTGTTTCTTCTATAGGACACTCAAAGACATTTCTATATTCCTTTGCTGTTTAATATCTCCAATATCTCGTTGTTTCTCATTTCTCTCTCATTCATGGGCTACCTGTTCTAATTGGTTATTCTGTCAGTTCTTGTTGTAGCGTTCAGTTTTTTAGGTTAAAAACTGAAGTCCACTTTTCTATGTGATAACCCTTCAGATATTTGAAAACTACTGTCATATTTCTCGTGAATCATATTTTTGGGGTTAATCATATCCAGATCCGTTAACCCTTTCTCATAGGACTTCATTTTTAGACTCCCTTCCCCCACCATCTGGGAGTGGGAATTCTCATTCCAATTTTTGTCTTTTTTAAACTGGTGCTTGGAACTGGGTAGAGTACTCCAAATGGGGATGGAGGAAAGTAGAAGGGAACACTTACTTCTCGTGAACTGGGCTTTTTGCTTCTGTTAATGCACCCAAAATAATATTTGCCTTTTAAGCAGCTGCATCACATTACTGGCTCACATTTCATTTTTGTTCAATAAAAACACGAAGTTCTGCTATCTGTTTCACTTGTGCTTTTGGCAAATTTTTGCCCCCCAACCTATATTTTGCTTTATATTTTTCTTACTCAGATGCAGAGTTTTACATTTCTCTCTGTTGAATCCCATTCTATTCAGTTTTGCTGGGCCCTCAAGCCCATTTAGATCCTTCCAAATCTTTCCTGTTTCATCTAAATTGGTGGGACACCCCATGAAGGTTTGTATCATCTGCAGCTCTTATAAATTTCCCTCATCCAACTTAACTGATAAAAATGTTGAAGAGTTGATTCCATGGAAACTGACTGGCTGCCTTATATAACTTTTACCATCTCTACTTATTTACAAGGAAATAATCGGTCACTTGGACAACGGTCAGCAACACAATGCATGTGTGGGAAATGGCATTGTGAGCTGTTCAGATACATATGTCAAATAATCAATATAATTTGCTGTAAAATGGGTGAAAATAGCATCAGCAGTAGATATATTTTTTCTTTACAGTGGGCTTATATGTCCAAGTGTAGTTCAGACAAAGCAGTCATCTTTTTAACATCCCTGAAGCTACTGAAATGAACTTTTCTGAAGCGCATTTGGTGAATGCTTCATTATTGCCATTTTACTCTATTTCACTTTGAATTGTTTATATTGATTTGTTACTATTATTTCATTTGACTTTGATGACTAATTTTATGTATTTCTCAGTGTCACTTTTATATTTTGTCCTTGCATTTCTTTAAGTTTGATTGACGCTGAGCTTGTCGGTCGAAAGGTCGGCAATTCAGCGGTTCGAATCCCTAGGGCCGCATAACGCGGTGAGCTCCCGTTACTTGTCCCAGCTTCTGCTAACCTAGCAGTTCAAAAGCACGTAAAAAATACATGTAGAAAAATAAGGATCACTTTTGGTGGGAAAGTAACAGCATTCTGTGCACCTTTGGCATTTAGTCATGCCGGCCACATGACCACGGAGACGTCTTCGGACAATGCTGGCTCTTCAGCTTTGAAATGGAGATGAGCACTGCCCCCTAGAGTCAGGAATGACTAGCACATATGTGCGAGGGGAACCTTTATCTTTACTTTTTTACCATAGATATTTTAACGTTGAGACAGTGGTAGTCCTTTTTTTACTGTTTTTTAAATCACCAAGACTCAATATTGATTTGGTTTTTAATAAATAATATAATGTCCACAATAGAGATAGAGCAAGATTATAAATATTTCCTAATCTGCAAAAATACTTGAATCACAGAATTCTTTCTAAATCATGTTTACAATAAATGAATTTTTTTTTTCTTTCAGGTTTTCTGTTTCCTACAGCAAAAACTCCTCATGGATTTTTTTCTGTGAAGAAGATACAAGAATACAGATTGTAAAACTACTGAAAACACTTAGTAGATATGACAAAGCTAAGGTGATATTTTAAAAAATGATTTCTTATTGTTTGACTCCAAAATGTACTACAAACTGTGAAAAAGAATCAAAAACTGAATTAATTTGCATTTTGATAAACCTATGACTATAATAGATGAGAAAGAACAGTTTTCTTCTTATTTAACATGCATCATGCCTAAAACCTAGACCAGTGTAATTAATGATAATAAATTATATACTGACAGTTGCATTATATTACAATTACAGTTTTATATCAACATTATAAGAATAAAATCTCAATTATCAAGATCTATTCAGTATAAAAAATCAAAACCATTATTGCATAGATTTTTTTTAAAGAAGTATTTACAAAGAGCTGAAATATAGAAAGTTACAAGTTATTTTACATCTACTAGTAAAAAATAGTACAAGACATTCTAAAATAATAATTATTATATATTTAAATATATCAACAACATATTGATAGGAATAATTGTAAGAACACTAGTTCAGGTTCTCACCTTAGTTCATTTACTATTAATAAGAAACTGAGATGTTGGGAAATCTTGCATACATGTGTGAAAGTATTACTTCTGAGTGGTTTCTTATCTGTGGCTAAAATTATACTTGGTCATGGAAATATTCTACCATAAAGTTAACACCTATTAATTAGCAGTCTAGTTCACACTTATTCATATAGTGTTACTTAGTTTGCAAATAGCTGAAGGCTAGGAATATGCATAGCATAGTAAACATATTTCATTTAGAACAGGGGTGTCAAACTGACAGCCCACGGGCTGGATGCGTCACATGTAGGTCATGCCCACCCCAGCTCCGCAAAGGGAAAAATGTCATGAAATGTCAAGTGATGGCAGCGTGACACTGCAAGTTTGACACCTGTGATTTAGAACAAATGAGCCCTAAAACCAGTACAAGTGGAAGAAGCACACAATAGAATTTGTGTCTGTTACTATAAGTTGAGATTTTCTGTCCTCATAAAGAAGTTGAGTGAAATTAGTTTTTCTTGGGGCAAGGGGGATAATGTAATAAGCATTCAGAGGACATATTTAAAGAAAGAGAAAAGTACTCTCTTGAGAAATTCAGCAATTGATTGAGGAAAAACTTTTAACAGATTTTTATTCTTACCTGGGGTTTTTTTTGTTCCTGTTTTTCCCCTATCCCAAAGCAGGGATTTTTGGGGTGGTTTGGTGGGGTGGGAGGCTTTGTTTTTTTAAAAAAATGTTTGACTAGCTTTCTGTAAATTAGATAGTAGTTAGCATATACTGTTTTTTCACCTACTCTTGCAGCATGGTCTGACTCACATATAAGCTGTTAAGCTTATCCTTTGTTTTAGGTTTAGAATAATGTTGGAACTATCTGTTTTTGCACAAACAAGTCCATGTCACTTGTTCATCAAAACATACTTTTAAAAAATAGATTTGATATGATGTATGAATATATCAAGTAAGCAAAGACTTATTTCTTATTTCTTATTTCTTGGTTAAAAGTTAGTTTTGTCTGCCAGCCAATTTTGCCTGTGCAAACCTAGACTTTAATTTTGCTGAAATGCCATCACTAATAGAACCTCCAATCAACATAACGAATGGTGAAAGATGCAGTGAACTGTGGTTCCTCCATATCTCGAAGGTCACAAGTTTCCAAACCTTCACAATTGGTTTACATTTTAAGTTTGATAGATGAAGCATTAGTATGATTTATTATACAACTAAGGATGCCTTTACTCTCTGTGTGTTCGTGCACTCGAATAAGAGAAAAATAGTCTTATAAGGTTCTGTGGACCATGTAATAGATCTTCAGGATCTTAGTGAAGTTAAATTCATTAAGCACATTCAATAATATTTCTGTTCTCCCACAGGAATTTTTTTTAGGCAAAGCATTACATGATGATGAATCTACAATTATCCACCATTATGCCTTTGCAGAAAACCCTACAGTTTTCAAATTTCCAGATTTTGCTGCTGGCTGGGCACTTAGTATTCCACTTGTAAAAAAGTAAGATTGAATGATGTAATTTATTATAAATTGTTTTACTGAATAGTTGGTGTTTTTAAAATACTTTGGAGAAGTAATGCTGTTAAACATTAAAAGTCTTTCCATCTTGGTGTGTATGCATATAAAATGTACTGAGAATCTCTAATTACTTACCAGCTTTTATCTCATTTAAAACATTTAAAATCCAGTTTCATGTACCGTAAAAGTGACTATTCCACAAACATGTGATGCTATATATTTGTGTGTGTGTGTGTGTGTGTAAGTGATCAGCAACTAATAAATTTAAACAGTGAACTAGTAAAATTGTGTAAGAGGTGTTACACGACTTGTGCAGCAGAACTGTCAGTGCTTTGACCCTCTGGCCTAATTTAGCAGAAAGCTGAAAGAGCATAAAAGTGAAATGATAGGATCAATAACTTGCTCCGTTGGATCCTGAAAAGAAAACCGGAAAATGCAGCTTAGCCTTTGTTCTTCATATAAAAAAGTGAAGGAAAAAGCAATAAGGCTGCCTCTTCATGAATGACCCATTGTTTGTTTTTAATTTCATTTAACTTGGGTTACAATAAAATGGAACATTAGACATAGGATGGAACCCAGAGATGATGGGTGGGATCATACAGTCAGACTTTCCTCTTCCCTGCTACAGTATCATGGTTTGGTAGATGTCTTTCCTATTGGCTGGTGATGTGCTAAAGAGAAAGAGAAGGCAGCAAAGCTGAAACAATCAGGAAATTATTTAGGTTACTATTATACATTGCCCATGCCTAATGAGGAGAAAACTATTCGGCATGACTCAGAACAAAATCAATAGAGGCAAGTTAAGATTAGGCAGCGGAAACAGAACATTTCATACCAGTGTAGTTTTATGTGAATCAGTGAAAGATGGCTACACTTCAACTCAGCTTTGGAAAATGGTCCAAAGAGAATTAGAGACTGATGTTACCACAATATTGACAGGATCACAGCATGTAAATGTTGAAAAACAGAAAAATAGACATTATTGGACTTTACAATATAATAGCACAGGTTGAAGTCAAATTCAGAATTTCTATAGCAATGTTCCTCTGATGCCCAACTATAAATCAACATAGCAAGATTGCTATACTCATGTTACAGTCTATCTCCAATAGAGGCATTCTGTCAGGCAACCAGAGGCATCTCCTTATCAAATCGCAGGATTATACCTGGATTGTTAACCTGCTTACACCAGGGCTGTTTCGGTACAAAATCCAGGATGGAAGATGATTCAAATAATCTGATACATAATAAAATGCAAAGCAATGGAAGTGAAGAATTAAATCAAACACTGTAATAAGAAATGATCACAGATAAATAAAACCTATAGAGTAGAATGTATTTATTCAAATTTATATAGCTGCCCATATCTCACAAACAAGTGATTCTGGGTAATAAACAGAGTTATAACACAATATATGCATCGTTATTATTATTAAAAAACTTTAAAACTATAAAAAGTACAAAACTAAAAGAGAAAAAATATTCTCGAAGAATGCATATCAGAGAAGAATGCATATCACAGATTAAACTAATAGATATATAATTTTATATAAAATATAAATTCTATAAAATGAAATATATAAATATTCATATTAAATTTCATATTACCAATTTTAGTTAATATATTACTATTTTAATAACAGGAGGAAAAAGAACTGTTGCAAAAGAGACACTTCAGGCCAGGGATTTGGGGAATATGAGAAGGAGCAACCCTGCTTTAATTATGTTAGACATAAACTAAGCAGGACAATTGCTTAGACAGGTTTTCAAGATTCGGTTACACGCTACTTAGCAATAACAGTCTTTCCAGAAGTCCAGGTGGTTCACATTTGCCTGCCTCACAGGTTTGAAAGATTAAATATTTGCAGTGAAATACACAAAATTGAGCTTTTTAATAAAGTGTGTTTCATATTCTCCAACTCTGGTGCTTTGGCACGTGAGATTATTTGGAAAGATTGTTCTCATCTGTTTTTCTGGATAACCTGCTTGCAGATTATCTTCGGCTGTGTTGGGACTGCAACTCTTAGTGGGTATGATGAAATGGGAATTCTAGGAGTTGGAGTCCAAGAATTAAATAGTGCGAGGTTGGAAAGGCTGATTTACAGCAAAAGTATTTACCTGAGGTTTTGAATATTCCCCATCTACCTGAAAAAGGAATATTATTAACAACTAAGAATCTTAGGTCCTGAATTTCTTATTGCTTAAACACATTTTTCTTTTCTTCTTTTTTTTGGGGGGAAAAATTTATTTTATTTTTTTTTAACAAAAAAACCCACATCTTTTCAAAACGAAGCTTTTGCTCCAGTCACAAATTAAAACAAATCATTAACAAATCTTATTTTCAATTAACACAACTCAATATTTTAAACAAATATTTCCCTCATATCTATCTTTAATACTATGCCATTATTTCCAAAAAAAACATTTCTTAAATCCTAATCAGTTATCAATTCATTTTTCTCTTTCATTTGCTTAGATGGATATTTTAACAATATAAGTTTTACAATTATATTAGACAAATTAAACATTCATTAACTATTTAATTATTATTAAACCTAACATGCATTTTATCTTAACTATCACTCTCAACATACACCTCCTCATTTTAGTTATCCCACCTCTTTTTATTATCTTTGATGTTAAACCAATCATTTCTATTTCTTGACTGTTAATCACAGCGTAAACCTTTGTTTTGGCTGTTGAATATAGCATATTTTTATTTTTTGGCCATTGCCCAGCATGACTTTTGTTTGGCTGTTAAACACATCATATTAATTTTGTTTTTTGGCCGTTACACGGCATCTTCAGGTTTGTTTGGCTGTTGAACACAACATCTCTATTTTTGTTTTTTGGCCGTTACATGGCATATTAAGTTTTGTTTTGGCTGATACCCAGCATGACCATTTGTTTGGCTGTTCAATACAGCATATTATAGCTTTTTGGCTGTGAAATAAAGCATGTTCATAGTTGGTTTAACAATCTCTACTTAAACCTTTCTTTGTTGTTTCCCTCCATCTATGCATTGCTTTTCATTTAATCATATTTTTCTTTATCCTTTTGCATAGCATTCATAACATTTTAACCTTGAGATATGGTTCTTGCTTAAGACATATTTTTAATTATATTTTTAAATTCCTTTTAACATTTTCACTGAATCATATTCACCCTTATTCTTTACCTTAACATGTTACCATTAAAACATAGTTCTTGCATTAAACACATCTTTACATGTATTAATTAGTTTCATTTAACATTTTTAATTTCTATAGAAACCTCCAACCCCCCCTTTAATTTATTACAATCATCTTTACTTTATTTTATTTTTAATCACATTATCTTCATTTCCTCGTCCGCAAACATAAATTTCCTTCCATTTTCCAAGTTTTTAATTTTATTCTCCATAAGTCCAATTAAATCTCTCTTCATATTTTATTCCGGATATAGTGTATCAAATCTCTTTCTTTTAAGGCTGCGCTTAATCCTTCTTCTATTCCTGCGCCAACATTCAAATTATTATTTGTTCAACTGTAGGAGTTCCATTGTAAATTCCTTTTCTTCACCAAAGTCCAGCTGTTTGCAGTCAAGAAAGAAAAATCCTCCTCCAAAGTTCAGCAATTTTTTTTTATTTTTTTTGTTGGTAGAGCTCAAAGTTCTCATAACAAAGGGAGGTTACAAAGTTCCTCTTTATGCCAGATGGTGTCTCTCTATAATCCACATTTCCCATTAGTCATGCAAGACTCCATTTTATTTCTTATTATATAACCATCCACTTTATTTTCTTCTTTTAGTTAAAAAAGTATCAAATCTTCTTTTTTTTTTTCCTTAGTCCAATTCAGATTTTTAAAGTGTTTAGTCCTTTTACCATATCTCTAAATTAAGTCTCTTAGTTCTTGTTCCAAAATTAGTTGTTTCTCGGGTCTTTGTTCTTTAAAGTTACAGTTTAAAAAAACATTCCAAAGCCCCTTTGTTACTTAGCTGCTGTTTTAGGCTAGGGGTCTTCTAGTTACTAATGTAGCTCCAAACCTTGTTGCAAGCCTGGACTGTTGTCACTCATCCGGCTTCAAAAGCCTCCGTTTTACTTCGCTTTCCTCCAGCACTTTCCTTGCCCAGTTGTCACAGCTTCATGGCAGCCGCCATGTCTGCCGCCCCCCGCTGCCGCCTCACAGAGGGTTTCCTCTGACCTCCGAAGAACTTGCCTGTTCCTCTCGGTCTTCCGAGGCGCCCCTCTTCTTCCCCTGCCCTACAGGACAGGTTTGGTCCGCAGACCCATCGGCGGCGGTTCGGCAGCCGGGGTTTTCGCGGGACTCATCAGAGCCCACTATTTCCCCGACTGTCTTGCCGCAACGTCAACCGGACGTTCCCCGCTTAAACACATTTTTCAAGTTAGTTGACAACACTGCTTTTCAGAAAGACAAACTATCTCAGCCATCGTATAATATGCAATTTTTTAATGTGTGTGTGTGTGTGTGTGTGTGTGTGTGTGTGTGTGTGTGTGAGAGAGAGAGAGAGAGAGAGAGAGAGAGAGAGGGAGAGAGAGAGAGAGAGAGAGAGAGCACACTGCCTTCGAGTCAGTGTTGACACTTGGCAACTGCCTACACCAGTCCCTGCTGTTTTCTTGGCAAAGAAAGATAATTTGCCATTGCCTGTTTGCTAGGGCTGAGAGTGAGTGACTGGTCCAAGGTCACCTAGCTGGCTTTGTGCCTAGGCAAGACTAGAACTCAGAGGCTCCTGGCTTGTAGCCTGATCTTATAACCACTACAACAAACTGGCTGTCTTGATCAGCTGTACTGCCCATATATTAAAGTTGAAAATAGTTGCATCCAACAACTAAACAAAGTAGTATACCAAGTTTAAAGAGATATAGCTGACTTTATCTTCAAAGTGCCATGCAGGGTCTGGTTTTGACCTCCAAGGAAGGTTCATCTTGGTAGCTACTTTGATTGCCATGAGGGCAAAGAAATAGAAGTTCTCCACTATTATTGGAACAGCGTAAGCATTATCTATATTCTAAGCATTGTATTCTGTTTCATGAATCACATATCGTTTTTATAACCATGGCCAGATTCTATCAAATAGTCATTGATATTTCATCAGTTTTAAATTTGGAAATTATACACTATATGTCATCATCTAAGGTAGGGTTACAGAATTACTATGTAATGGTTGGTAACTTCATTTAAAAAGATCGATGTTTTTCCATATATCAGTATTTTGTTTTTATTATTCTTATTGCTTAGGCTTGCAAGGAGACTGAAGAATGAACCTTTAAAGTCAGATTTTACAATAGATTTAAAACATGAGGTAAGCCCTTTCTGATTCACTTGAACATGATTTACTTCATATAATCAGGTTCCAAACAATACAAAGCAGTTATATTAGTATTTTTGTTCATTATGTACAATAATAAAATTCAGATAACAAAGTATCAATAATCTCATCTCTGGTAGCAATCCTATGTAGCCAAAAATCACATTATTGCAGGAGAATAGCTGATTTTTTTTTTTAACGTGGAGATCCACACATCTTTGCTGTAGCATAAATTGGTTTATTGATCCGTGCTAGAGGCAAAAGCAAGTCTAAAAGTAGGTGAGGTTTACAACCCCTCTTTATAGAATTTTGTATTAAAAATACATTAGCTAAGAATAATTGCAAGTAGCAAGTACAGGGATTATGAATACTGTGTATTCATAGTCTGTCCTCTGCAGGATGCCATTCAGTGACTCTTATCGACATACTGCTTTATTCATGAGTTTTTCAAAGGTGAAACCATGTCATATCATCTGCAAGAAGACAAATGAATGACTATAATTGACAACTCACTGCTGCAGGTGAGAAACTAACAAGATCCGTGGACTCATGAAGTGTGCTGTCTGCTAGGAGCACAGATTATTGATGGGACAGAACAACTTTCAATTATCTCTCCCTGCTTATCCATGTGGGGACAAATGATATTGCCAGGAGTATCTAAAATATCTAATGAGGAAGAAAGATCAAGAACCAGGAGCCTAAGGTATTCCCATCCTTCTTTCAAGTTCACGCAAAAAGGATGGGGAAAAAAAAGAATGCTGTTGATGAACAATTTATGAATTGGTTTAGATATAGGAGATATAGTTTTTAAGGACTAGGATTCTGCAGAAATTGTAGATTTGAAGAGCAAAGAATGATTTTGTATATAAACGGATATACAGTACATGTTGCTCCTATCAGGAACACCATAAGCAGTTGCACCTTTTCCCAGGATTGAATGGCTGCTCATGCATGTAATAAACATATTTTGCCCTTTGAATGTGGCATAAGATGATAAAAGTCTAATACTGCATTTGCTCAAGCCATGATGAGCTTCAACAGGAAGGCTTTAGATGGAATCCTAAGCAATGTGTGCAGTGCAGAAGGAAATGGGAGTGTTGATGTAATGGGGGCCCTGTTAAAGAGCTCAACCTTAAAATTAAAAAAAACATATAAAATTCATGATCTTCATTGTCTATTGTTTTCAACATATAAGAAATAAAAAAGATGGGTTTGAAATGTTAGTACTGGATGATTTAGTAGAAGTATGAAAGACCCAGTGGGATGTCTCTGAGGATTATACTTCAGCAGCTGAAGGATATAATTTGTTCAAAAGGAACAGAAGCAAATGAAAGGGAGGAGGAGGAGATGAACTAAATATTAAAAGTATTCACACCTGCTCAGAAATTCAAGGAAATGAAGCTGTCAAGAATATCTAATTAAAACAAGTAAAAGAATGTATAAAAATTGCATTGTTGTTTAGGTCTGCTATTACCTGCCCAAGCAAAAAGACAATATGGATTAAACTTTCCACAAGCACTTAGATCTTTCAAAAAGGTTTCAAGTGGTGATGCCAAGAAAAATTAATTACTGACATATAATTGTGAGGCAAACTCTGCCAAGCATAGTTATTTCAGGAAATTCCCAGCTTTTCTTTCTATATTTTTCTTCTAAGAGTAGTGTAAGAGATAAAATATAGTTTTCTTGATTTGACATCTACCCTGGCAGTAGGGAGGGATCAAATGTGGAGCTAGCCTGGAGTCACTGTGCAACAACAAAAGGGTTAAGGCCTCCCCCCTCCCCCCCTGTTCCTTGGAGCCTTATCTAATTGTTCCTAGGAGCAGGCTGTCAGACTGGGAAGATTTCTGTAGTATAGGCAGAATATAAAAAGTAGTTAGCTCAGACTCTGCACACGTGAGTCTGGTTGTTTGTACCTGACAAATGGAAATAGCAGGAATACTGGACATAAAGATAACTACCTTGATCTCAGCAAAATATTTGAAAAAACCCTGTGAAATTCCAAATAACAAACCAGCTAAGGATGTTGTGGATACATGAAAATTTACTAAGTAGACACCAGGGTCAGAAATTGGATTCCAAGAGTAATGATTTGCTACAAAAACTGCAATTTTAGACATATTGAACCAGTATAATTTCCTAATCAAAAAAACAATTTCATTATCTTTTGCATTTGCCAAACCCTACTTTGTTCACAGTTATATACATCATAGTTTAAGAAGATTCAGACAAACTGAAATAAGTTCAGGGAAGGACAACAAGGATGATCTGTGTTCTATGTAGAATGATTGAAGGAATTAGGCATGGTCAGACTTTTTATTAAAAGACAGGAGGATTATATAAAATCTTCAAATATTTGAAGGAATGTGACCTAGAAGAAAGCCAAGATCTGTTCTCCTTCATTTCCGATAACAGGATAAGGAATAATGGATTTAAATTATACGAAGGGAGATTCCACCTGAATACTAGGCAAAAATTGACATTAAATCTATAGTGAATTAATTTCCAGAGAGATGGTAGTCTTTATATAACTACAAATTTTCAGGCAGATAGTAGGTAGTCCTATGATATGAATGATTTAGATTTGATTCCTCTGTTGAGCAACGTGACTATCATAGCCTCAAGAACCCTGTCATTTTATGATTCTTTGATTTCCCTCAGAAATTTCCTCAAAAATTCAACCTCATCCACTTCAGCATAGAAATGTTCAGTAATGGTAATTCCAATGCCAGCAGTCTCTACAACTGCCTCTTATGCAGTGAGAATTCCATCCTGAAGGGAAGGAGGCAATCTTTGTAAATAAGGAATATTTCTGAAAAACACCCTACCAAGCATTTAGATCTTTCTTTTTCTTATACATTCTGTTTTATTTCTTTAACAATGTAGAGATTGTAGAAGTTTGTGAGAGCCATTGAAAATTCTTTTTTTTTCCAGAAACCAAGATGAATTTATTCATGAGATATATGTTCAAACATTACTAACTGTTCTTCCTTTTATTGTGGCACTTTATGGTAATAATAGTGTTATTAAAGTAAAAAGAATTGTGATTCATTCTGCCTCAATACAAAGCATTGAAAAGTATTTGATGCCTCAAGTCATATTTTTCTTGATTTCCTCATTTATGTTCAGTGCTCTATGGCCTTGGATAGAATATAATTATTTTAATGTATTTTAATTATAATCCATTTTTTTCCTGGCACATGCTGACGGTATTATGGATATCTTTAAAATTATTCTTTTCAAAGTGTCTTAAAAAAAAAGTTTCTGAAAATAATCTGAAATGGTAGGCTCCTACTGCATTATAACCTAATCCAATTCTTCACCAATGTCAAGTTGCATTTGAATCATTAATTATTTTCTAAAATGCTGCATGTTTTATATTACATTAAGAAATACTCAATCATTCCACTTTCGGTATAAACATGATTTTAAAATAAGTCTTTTACTTTTATTATTTGATTGTTTGCCAAATGTATCTGAAAGTTAAAAGTAGCTACAGAGAAGCAAACACAACTCTGCCCTTTGTAATCCTCCCTGCCATCTGTTCTTGTCAGTCTTGACTAAACTTATTTTTAATTTGTGTTGTCGTCTTCTCCACTTGGGAATAAACAATATTCACCAAGCGTATGTGCTGTTTTATGAGGTAATTTAGTAATATGTGTGATAAAATTAGTAAAAGGGCAAATTTGCAAATAAAGGACTATGAGATACAGACTCCCTAGTTTGAAAATTCTTTCTTTCTTTCTTTCTTTCTTTCTTTCTTTCTTTCTTTCTTTCTTTCTTTCTTTCTTTCCTTCCTTCCTTCCTTCCTTCCTTCCTTCCTTCCTTCCTTCCTTCCTTCCTTCCTTCTTTCTTTCTTTCTTTTTTCTTTTTTCTTTTTTTCTTTCTTTCTTTCTTTCTCCATTCATCTTACATATGTGACTCTCAGTGGCCTTCAAGATTAAAACCAAACAATAGCTGGAAACCAGGAAAAAAAAAAGAAAGAAAGAAAGCACGCAAACATTGCAACAAATAAAACCATACTATATAGTCAACCGAGACCACAGTTAATTCATGTACAATGTAACTATTTTAGATTATATATATTGTATATATTTCTGGAAGGTCAGCAAGGTGGGGACCAGTCTGACCTCTGTGTGGGAATGATGTTTCATAGGGCAGGCAAAGCATTATGTGCTCAGTCTTCTTGATTTGTCCTTACTCTAAGCTTGGCCCTCCTCAACCATCCTAGTTTTCCCTTTCCATATCTCAGAGAAACAAACAATTGTGACTTTTGTCAGAGAAAGAGGTCCAAAGAAAATATTGTTTCTGGGCATGCTCAAAAGCAACATCTAAGGAACATGTCATACATTGTTTCTTCTAATTCCAAATTGAATCTGAGAAGATTATAAAATTTATATTCCCATCTGCATTTTTTCTTAGACATTCCTTGCTGATGTCTCTTGTGAGGAACATAAGAAGTTGCCTTATTGTAGTTTGGACCATTGCTCTATCTATCATATTGCAGTGTCTAAAGCAGTGTTTTTCAAACTTGGTAATTTTTAAGTTGTGTGGACTTCAACTCCCATAATTCCCCAGCCACCATGTTGCCAAGTTTGGAAAATGATGTTCTAGAGCCACTAGAATGGCTCGTCAATCATAGCATGGCCTTATTGGAGATGCCAGGAGTTGTCTGCAGGATTATGTGCTGGAACTTTTCATCTTTGTAATGGAAACATATCATTTTCCTTTGGTTGATTTTTATTTTAACTGAGAAGAAAGCGTCATCTTTTTCTGCTTTGCATTTTTTTAGGTTTCTTAGAAAATCTCTAGGGAACATCAAGGGTTTATATAACTTTTCTTTGAAAGTTGATAAATAATTTCAAGTGTAATTCTCTCTCTCATAATGTATATAGATAATGCATATCTACATAAATATGTGATTACATTTTGAAAGATTGCATTATATATCTGGGAGAAAGGGAATGGACCACAACTCACACCGGTGCCTGAATTCTGTACAGAAGACTTCAACTCTCCTAATGGTGTTACCTGTGCCACTACATTCACGAATTTCTTCCCACAATGTGTAAGTACTTCCTGATTGCTTCTCCTGATAGAGAATATAGAGAAAGTATTCTATTCTATCCCATATGTATCTTGTTAGAACTTTCCAAATGGGGAACTTTGCAGGCATAAACAATTTGATAAAATTGAAGGAAAAAGAAATGTATCTATTTATACTGAATCTTGTCACTGGTTAGATGCAAATAAAGGACTTTTTAATCTTCTGCTGTAAAAGTAAAGGAATCTTACTTTTATAGACAGTAAAAGGGACATTTCCATAGACTTCCGCACTTCGGGATGAATCTGTTTTTAGCATGCAACTTGCAACTTCTATCCACGCAGCAATTGTGGCTTAACGAAATAGGTAATGTTACCACTTCCTTTTGCTCATGCCTGAAGCTAGTAAAGTGGATGCTTTTCATTGCCTTTTCAGCATATACCTCTATCTATCTCTGTCTTTGTCTTTCTCTCTCCCTCTCTCTCCATTATTTGCTTCAGTACAAAGAAAATACCTGATAACAAAGGTAACTTTTCAGAAAACATAATTAAAATGGGAGTGGGAAACATTACCAATCTGTTTTTTATAGTCAGTTTCATCATCATTTCTTGATTTCCCTTGTAATCGTGCAAGGAAATCTATCTAATAGATTTATTTTCCGAATCCATTCCAAAGTTGACATTTGCTTTTAAGGGGAGTCATTTTCCCAAATAGGCTAGAAAACTGCAGAATTTGTTTTCTTAGATTCTCGGTACTTTTCTTCCCATATACAAATAGATTGGGGTTTTTTCCCTCAAGACATTTGAAAGGTCTCCTTGATTCACTATATCTAAATGCCATTTCATGCAAAGAAGGAGAAAAATCTGCACTGTTTGTTAATACTGCGACTGCAAATTTGTCTTCTGTATTAAGAACAACTCTGGTATGTCTTTTATAATCCTAGCATTTTGAGTTAAATAAATAAAGCAAACTTAGAGCCAGATCCTATATGTGCTTACCTACAATGTCATCTACTCCTGTTTTGCATGGAGAAAGAAGAAAAGGGACATTGCAGAGTAGAAACTGGTTCTTCAAGTTGAAATTGAAAAAGGGAGGGGGGGCAGTTCCAAGATGTCACCCATCTCAGGGGTTTGTTTGTTGGTGTATTCAGGTCAGTTTTTTATTCCTGGTATTTGCCTGGTCTAGTCCTTGCAGTTTTCTTGCAAGGGTTTTCTCTTCTACCCAAGGCTGAGAGAGTGACCCTCACAAGGTCACCCAGCTGGCTTTCTACCGAATGTGGGACTAGAATTCACCATTTCTGGGTTTCTAACCTGATATTTTAACCACTACATCAAATTGACTCGCCTTGGATTTAACATCTCCAACACCACATTTTTTGTTCGCAAATTCAGAAAAGAGTGGTTATTGCTGATTTTACCTAGATTGTTGGGGGCAACATGCTGACTCTGTAAACCGCCTAGAGAGGGCTGTAAAGCACTATTAAGCGGTATATAAGTGCAAGTGCTATTGCTATTTTAAAATGGGAAAACATAGGATTGGGAAACAACAGGCAGGCAATCCATTTTCTTTAATCCTCATCCATAATCTGTTTGTCGTGATTTGCTACATAGGGCTAATATTACTGGGATCTGCAATATGGCAGTAGGAATGCTGTCATATAGCTGAAAGAATTATAAAATCATTTATGTAAAACATTTAGAATGTTCAAAGCTGGTATTATAGTAATCATCAGTGAGCTTAGATATTTTTCTTTTTCTTTCAATATGTTTTTCAATTGCTTCTGACTCTTGGTGATTCAGTGATCATCGCTGTACAGGACTAAGGGTCAGTAACTGCTTCTTTGTGTTCTTGTAAGATCATACTTATGTCATGTAACCTCCTTATTGTCAGTTGGCTTCTTTTCCAGTGCTTTTGATTTGTCCAAACAGTAGAATATTTTCCGATGACTCTTGCTGTTGCATTATGTGTCCAAAAATATTTAACGGTTAGGCGCATTATTAATGCTTGCTTTTAGCAGCCTGGTTTCACTTCATCTAATTCTGAGTGATTTGTTCTTATTCCAGTCCAAATTATTGCAATTTTCTCCAGCGCCACAACTCGAAGGAATCATTTTCTTTGTTAAGACTTTCCAGCAGCCATCTAGAATAACTAATAGCAACAACTTTGACAACATGTAACTTGGATGTCAGTGGCAAGTGTTTGCATTTTGGTATGTCGTGTAGGCTTGTGATAGTCTTTCACCAAATAATAGTTACCTCCTGTATGAGAGCCCAGAATTTCTGACATAATTTCAGTTCTTGTTAATATTGAGCAGCAGTCAGATAGACGTTTCCCCTTTCTTCATCTTCAACAAGAGATTCCTTAAGTTAGCCTGCTTCTACTATCATAATATATCATGAACATACCTGAAGTAACTATTGCTCCAAACAATTTTACAGTAATTCCAAATATTACTTCTTCTATTCCTGCATTTCTCATAATATATTCTGCATATAAATTAAAGAAAGTAACAATAGATCATTCCCGATGCACTTCGTGCCAAAGTTGAATCACTTAGTTCCTCCATATTCCCTTCTCTTATTTTTTGTTATCATACAAATTCTTCAAAAGGCAGATGAGATGTTTTTAAGAGATACCCACAACTTATGTGTGGCCTACATAGTCAAAACAAAATTAGACATTTTTAGAATTTTCTTGCCTTTTCCATTATGCTAGTAAAATGATCCCAAGGGTTCCTGACCCTTCTAAACCCAGCTGGTACATCAGGCAGTTCTCTTTCTGTAGGTTGTTGAAGTTGGATTGCGAAATTCTGGGCACTGTTTTATTTGTGTATGAGATAACTGCAATGATTGGGTAGTCTGAGCTTTCTTCACTTATTTTGCAAACTTCTTAACTTTCATATGAGTTTTTACAACAAAGCCATACAGGTAGTCTTTTCTTATTGACCGTTCTTTCAGCAATCATTCAAAGTTACGACTATGCTGAAAAAATAACTTTACAGATCATTTACAATCTTTTCAGCATCTCTCAGTTAGTAATCACCTTTACTGTCCGTAGCATTATCTTGTGTCTGACCTCTGTTTTTTTCTCTCCCCCCCCCACCTTTTGCGGGGCAAATTTACTGAAGAGAAAGGGATTGCAAGAAAATAAGCTGTTTGCTCTTCTACGCATTTGAGAGCAATGTGATTGCGTTGACAGCAAGAAAGGGTCAGGCAAAGGAGAGGCTGCCTACAGAAATTGCTTGCTGTTTTTTAACCCATCTCCTCTCACATAGAGGAGAGATTAGAGAGGAATCGACTTCAAGAAACTACTGTAAACTGTATGCATAGCATGAATTTGGTTCCAGCGCCAGGCTACAATACAATCACATGACTTTTGGTGTGTATAAGACAGTAAGCAGGCATTCCAAAGGGGAATGGTGGGAATGATTAGGATGCAAACCAAAACCAAACCTGTGAAACTGGCTAGTCTTGTCTCTTTCCATCCAGAAATCACAGTCACAATCCCCCTTAGTAACCCCTTAGTAACCGCTTCGCTTAGCAGCAGAGTCACAGATCCCAATTAGGGTTGTTAAATGAGGACTAACTGTATTCCTTTGAAAATAATGTGTTAGCTTTTTGATATTGAAAGTACATTCATTTTCTTAACTTTAATATTAAAAATTAAGGAAAATATGATTGTTCAGTTAATACACATTTATTCTACTCTACTTCCAATTTGGTTTTCTGATTTTATCTTAGCAATATTTTCTGCAACTACTGGTTTATTTATTTATTTGAGGTGTTTCTCCATTCATGGTTTTGGGTTTTTCCCCCCCAAGTTAGTTTCTAACTTTTCTACATTTACAGTTTTACCAATGTCTGATACCCAGAGAGAGGGGAGGGGGGGCAGAGGGAGAGGGAGGGAGAGAGCGAGAGAGAGAGAGAGAGAGAGTTGATACACTTATCTGCTATTATTTCTGATATGTTGCATGAAGAAAAAAAAAACCATTTGACCGAATGCTTGTAAAAACTGGATTTCCATCTACCAGGAAGCTACCAGGAATCCTTATAAAAAACATTTGCTGCTTAGATCCAAAGAATCCTGAAATTAACCATTTATAGCCATAAAATATAGCTCTTATTGAAAATACGTTTGGGTATGTTTGTATTTATATATGTTTATAAATATTTGACTTGATTACAGGAAAAAGAAAAAAAAAAGTCCTAGCAGAATCCTAAGAAAATGTGATCTAGTCAAAATTAGTGAGATATGATATGCTTAACTCCCTCACATTAAAATCAATGGGATTCAACCAACCTTATCTTAGTATAGTATTCATTGACTGCGGTAATTAGACTATTCCTTTTTCTTATTTATCACTAATCATGGCTGCAATCTGACTTTCTAGTATAGTTTAAATGGCAAATGCTGCCAGGAAACATTTGATTATTTAAATCGTTTACATTTTCAGATATAGAATGTATTTTAAATATTTTGTGGAGAATGGAATTGCGTTCTTCTATAGTTTTTTTTCCTTAAAAATGAATTCATAATTATCAGTCTAAATTGAAAAATATATAAATTGAAAAATATATGGAGATGGTATTTTATTTTTAGGGTGATCCTGTGAAGAAAACGGATATCTTTATTGCTGTAAAAACATGCAGGAAATTCCATGGAGACAGAAGTAAGTTCTGGAGTTAAGAGTATATTTACATTTTTTTTTCTGAAGCTGTTTTTATTAATTTATATAACATGTTGAAAAGTATAGCTAGCCTTTTCGTTTAGCATATTCTCTTTTTGAATTTTTCACATATAATAAAAATCACTTGTGAGAAAATTAGTCGGAAAAGTGGTAAGGAAGGAAATTGAAATTTGCATTGAAGGTGCAAATTCACAGTTTTCAAAACAAAACATCTTATGCCTTTAGCTTGTCAAGAAAAGATGGGATATAAATCTAACAAATCAATGGAATATTTATTTATTAAATATGTACATATGAGATTTATTTTATTTGTTTATTAAATTTATTCCCATCCATCTTGCTATTACGTGACTCTGGGCAGTGATCTATTGGAGAGTTTCCTTTTTTTTTTTCTTAGATGCTTTGGATACATAAGACTGAGAATCTAGTATATTCCTAAAAACGAAATCCATGAATTGACCCACATTTCACTCAAATAATTATGTGATTCTTACTGACATCCTAATGAAAGCCAATAGCAGCCTATCTCTAATGTTGGGTGATAGGAGAAATTATTAACCAGTGATGCTCTATTTTAGTTGAAATATATTTTAATGTATATATGGAAGTGAATAAAACCTTTGCATAAAATCCCAAAAGTGCTTTTCAAAAGGCAACTGGATTTTCTTGGTTTTTTCCTTGAAAATGTTTTACTTCTTATTCAAGAAGCTTCTTTACTTCAGAACTGAAGAAGCTTCTTGAATGAGAAGTGAAATGTTTTCAAGGAAAAAACAAATGAAATCCATTTGCTTTTTAAAAAGCACCTTTGGGACAACCATGATATGAGTGATTGAGAATCTCCATAGACACCATTGCATACAGTATTGTGTTTTATAAACATATACATATTATCTAAATGTTAAATATTTACAGTAATTTTAACCAGAGTTTTGTTGAAAGTGAAGATTTTGGCCCACATGAAGCATCGCTTTTTTCTCTTCTAATCACAGCTCTTTGAAGCGTGAAGAGTTTTCCTTTTATCATAACTGTCCTCTTATTTTTTGCATCTCTTCTATGTCAGGCAGTGACTAGTTTAGTAGGCTGTATTGTAAATTAATCTGATGTCCTTGTTTGAAGGAAATTGCCTTCAGCATTTTTCCCTTCAAATCACAACAAAGATGTATTGAGCCTATTGTCTCTGTAAACTGTTCTATCAGTATGATATACACAGATGATAAATGAGTTTCAGACATTACTTTTATTCTTTGATAGTCTTTTTAGGATGATGAGAGAATTTATTTTCTCAGTACCCAACTATTTCACTCATCACTTGTTTTAATTATAGCAAAGTCTGCTGCTTTTTAAACCCCTTACCTCTTTCTGAAGAAATCCAACCACAGTTTTACGCTCTTTGCATACCTCACAACCTTTCTCTTTTCCTTCATGTATTCTCACGCCTGCTTTACTTCCATCACACGCAGCAACCAAACCTCAGCTCCATATTCATGCAAACTATTCCATAATTTGGTTCTATTCATTGTGTCATATGCTTTCTCTAGATCAACACACAATGAATTTTTAAAAATAATTTTTGAAAAGCAAAAATGCGGCATTCACTTCCCTGCCCTGACATAAGAGCTTGTTGAATTTTCCAGTTCATGAGCGACTACATCCATGTTTTGATATTTCTACAGCCACCAGCATTTTCATAGTGTTTATGTCTTCCTTTTCATCCTTTTTTTCCCCTTTGATGCGAACATTTAAAGCATTAATTTCACACTGTCCTGTGCAAACAAGGATTTCTAATCTCAGGATTACTTTGCAAGTCAATATATTGTGGCTGCTATATCCCACCAATTAGGATAGCGGCTTCAAATTCATGTCGTTTCAGTGCTGCATAAGAACTATTTCATTAGCCCAAATACTGCAAACACATAAGCTGTCTATGACTAGGACACCATCTAAAAGGATATACTAAATTGAACTTGGTGTGAAGACGTGACAATGTATTCTAAATGAGTATTATTATTTCCAAATGGTCATTTTGCTTCTCCTGCCTGTGTCTTCATTTTTTTTTAAATTCAGTACCTATTGTGAAACAAACCTGGGAAGGAGAAGCCACTTTTATTGAATACTACAGTGATTATGCAGAAAGTTCAATACCTACTGTTGACATAGGAGTACCAAATACCGAAAGAGGTGGGTTTTAATATGATATTTCTTCCATGAGTTGTAGCAAGTATTCCACGTGAATGTCTGTAACAATGAAATGCTTATTGCTAATATGGCTTCAAGTTGCAGCCTGAAAAGTGATACTTAAGTGATACCTGCAAACGGTGGCCTCAGTTCCTCTACTTCTGTCATGTGGGATTGGGCTGAGCAGGAATGGTCAAATATTGGAGCAGAGCCCTCTCCTAGACTAGATGTTTGTCTTAATTACAGCAAGGAAAGGCAATCATATTGAAGCTTCCACATTACTTTTCATTTATTTTTCTGTCTCTGAGGGCTGTAGTAGGCATGGACATGAGATTAAAATGTTCAGCCCATTTTTGAGATTTTGGACGCTGGGCTTGGTTGTTTAAAAAGAAAAGAGCTTTACTCTAATTGCATCAAACAAACAAAAACACTGTCCCAAGTTAGCATTTTTATGGTTGAATGTTAGCAGAATGATCTGTGCTGCAGAGTAGATGGCCAAGGATTACCCTCTTTTTAAATTGCTATATTAAGGGCAGCCAGCCAAGCAGATTGTGTTTCCAGTTCCTAGTTTTGTTTAGATGTTCTAATTAATTGTTACTAAGCTGATCGATCCATACTGTAACAGGACATACCTTATTTGGATATATATCCAAAGTTTTACTCAATATCTACTTCCCAGTTTCCTTTTTTTTTTTCTTTTGTTACTTTCTAGGTCACTGTGGAAAGACTTTTGCCATTTTGGAAAGATTTTTAAATCATAGTCCTGCTAAAATGCCTTGGTTAGTCATTGTGGATGATGACACCTTGATAAGGTAAGAATTTCTGAATCAAATTAAATTGAATTATACTAATGTCTGTTATTGTTATTGTTATTATTATTTGCAGGATTGCAGACTCCAGATGAAATGTGAAACATGACAATTCATGTTGCAATGAAATTTTGAGGGAATCAGACAACAAATCCAAACCGAACAAATTAAAAGCATCTCCCAAATGAATAATTTATTACTGGACATTTGAGCATGTTGTGGCATAAAATTGAATTAGTGTCTAAAAAGATGACAATTTTGAAATATTGCTCTAGCATTGGGATTTCTGAGGATATATGGGGGGAAATGTACAAATAATAAGATGGCATTGGTTGCCCAAACCAAGAAACTCACTCAAGTACTGCAGAGTGGAGGATTATGATGTTCAAGACAACAATATTTCTCTTCTGTCTTGGTCATGCAGTAAGCACTCAGCATGTCTGAGCCCATCACTGGAATTGGGGATCTGGCAACTGCTGTTCTTCACTGAATAGCTATTTCTTTCTGTATGCAGTTTAATCTCCTTGCCACATCATGCTCTGTTTCCACGGGGGGGGGGGGGGATTGACATAATTGATTATCGACTATGGCTCATCTTTGGATCACACAGGCTGACAAGCATGAATGTTTACTTGTCACCTAAGGGCTTCAGGAGATTTTTAAGAAGTTGTACAACGATTTATCTGAAATGGTACAGTTTCCTGCCTGAATGGGGGGTTGGACTAGAACAGTGGTCACCACCAGTGGTCCATGAGAAAAATTTGGTGGTCCACAGAAAAATTATTTGCATTTTTATATTGCATTAAATACTATTTATCTTTTTAAAAAAATCATATTAGTGGTCCACGGGATTTAAAATTATGAATTTAGTGGTCCCTGAGGTCCCAAAGGTTGGTGACTCCTGGACTAGAAGACCTCCAAGGTCCCTTCCATCTCTTTTATTCTGTTATCATGAGGTATGTTACCAGGTTCTGACATTCTCAAAGTTCAGTTTCCAGGACTCTTTTTGGGCAGGGGGGAGGGGAGGGGATGGGTTGATCCTGGTACACATATCACTTTGCTTAAGAAATTTATTGCAAAAACACTATTCTCCATTAGCCTAGCAGGAAAACATGTTTTAATATCATATTTTATTTTTCACTAGCAAGGAGTACGATTTTCAAGAGAACTATGTCTTTATGAAGGGACGATGCATGACAAATTTTACTAAAAATGATGAAGGCGCTTTCAAGCCATGTTCCTTTAAAATCTGACCGTTACTATTTGTGCACAGAATGCAATGAAGTCTTTTATGCTAGGAGACCATATGATGGGGAGAAAGCATGCCAGATTTCAAACAGATGGGTTAAGGGAGATTATGCAGAGGAAGAAGTGTTCATAAGGAATGATGGTGTTTATTTCTGGATACAGTAGAGGTGATTTATAGTTTTGACAGTATAGCTCGCTGGTCTTTATCTTAAAATAACTAAGTTTTTAGGAGAGGTCAAGTAGCTCCCAAAGCATTTTCACACAACCATGTAGAAAAAAAGACTGGATGACACTAAAAGGCTACAAATGATAGAGCTCTTTTCAATCCCAAAGATTTTTCCAGCTTCCACAGTTCTGTGATTGCAGCAACCAAAGGTGGCCATTGTGATTTAATCACCCACTTACAGTATCTTCCCTCCACCACCTACACTGTCATTATGTCTTATCTAAGTAATAGAAACATCTTGTCCTTTTGGCATACCCGCTCATCAGCTTTTCTAAAGTATCAGCAGTCTGGTGAAACTAATCAAGACTATTCATGTAAGCCCAGAACAGATGTCTATTCAGATCTATTTACTGTTGTCTGGGTAACAAAAGGAACTCCTGTTCCAAATTACCCTATTCCAGCTTGTCATCTGAGCTTTGACCAAATCTAATGTACAACCCTAGTAAGTATGCGAGTATGTTTGGAAGTTGGGTTCAAAAGTTTTGCAAGCAGATTTTTACAAAAGCAGATTTTTAAAACAATTTTATCCTTCATGCCCCCAAGCCTTTCCAAATATTTGGAGGTTTTCCTGAACTTTGGTATTGGAGCCTGATAGGCAAAGTCAATGACTTCTATATTTTTTATTCCAATTGTTTTTTTCCATGTATGAATGCTACTTATTTTGATTCTGGCAAACTGTCTTGAAAAACATAAGCAAGTACCAGGTTTGTAGTTTCCTCAGAAGTCCTGATTGTGAGATTCTTGGGACTCTCTGAGCTTGGTTGTTTCCTTGCAGATATTTCATTACCAAATTAGGTAATGTCATCAGTACAACCTCAGAGAACCAAGGACTCGACAGTTCAGTTCAGAACTACAAATACTCAATTCCATTGGTCATGTCCTGATTTTAGTATTAAAAATTAAAATCATGGAACATGAGGAATTTAAAACATGGCACATATGATTTAAAATTACATTTTCCAATTAATACAATAGGAAAAAAATAATCTCTCTTTCCTGTGTTCTTGCATGCTTAATGAATGGAAGGAAATCTAGCATGTTTAAAACCCCATTATATTTGTTAAATTGAAGATTCAGTGCTTCATCCAATAATTGTATCTTATACAAAAAATAAGCATGACTTAAAAACGAGAAATTTACCAGAAGGTATGCCTAATTTTCTGTGAAATTCTACAGTGGCTGTAGGTGTAAAATGTAATTCATTTCCAGTACTAAGAATTATTTTTACATAGTCTACACAATATTATTTATTTTTTTATTTACTTATTTTATATGTGTGTGTGTGTATGTGTGTATATATATGTGTGTGTGTGTGAGAGAGAGCATTATACACACATACACACACACACACACACACCCCTCCCATCTCACTATCTAAAGCAAATATGGAAATGCCAGCATCACTGTAGTACATTTTAAAAATTAATGTTCACAATGTTTAAAGAAAAAGAATCTTCACGTAATGTGATTATATTCTTTTTGAATAGCTACATTTGGAAAAGTAGCAATAAGGAGCAATTCTTGCATTGGGAACATAGGAAAGATTGTACATATAGTATTTTTGGCAACAAAAGAGGTCATATGATGTGAAAAGATCTCACTTTCAGATTTTTTGGGGGATGGGGGAAACTAGTGATGAGAGTGGCATGCTTCTCAATCTTTTCCAGCATCCAGGTCTTGAAGCAATAGTCTAATATTTACTGATGTGTAAACGAATTAACTGATGCCAAACAGGACATTAGAAGAAATCCATTTAGGCATGCTTTTTTTGGTATTTGGAATATACAGCTTTTGCTGATCTATGATAGCTTATATTTCATGTTCCATATTGGCAACAGAATCACTGGAAAGTTAATCACACAGCCACCACTTCTGCAGAAGTAATTAAAATGTCACCGTTTGATGCCAAATATCCTTATGTACATCACACTTGAATATAAATGTAATTATATCATATAAATTCACCCAAACCTCTTTTCTGCATAATTTAAAAGCTAGTCTATATTACTAGAGCAGAGCGATTAAATTAAAAATAAAACTATACCCACTTGTTATTTATCTTGGTACATATATTATACCTATTAAAAAATGCAATATAGTGTATATTCCCAAAATTAATATCCCACCAACTTCCAAAGACTCCTAAAAATTATCATCATAAATAATAATTCAAACCAATAATTAAACATTTCAGATTTGACATCAAATGCTAAAATTAAAGAGCAATGTTAAAAATGACCTTTATGCAACAAGATATTCAGCCCACAAATACCATAGGGAACAGGAGGGCATTTGCCACTTTCCAAAGCACAAGCAATATGAATTTTTGGCAACAGCCAAAAATTATAAAGGTCTGCTTCTGTGTCTGTGGAGCTTCTCAGTCATCCAGGTCATAGTTACCTCAAAGGTGCTTTTTCAAAAAGCAAATGGGCTGGGTTTTTTTTCCTTGAGGAAGAAGAAGAAAAAGTTTCGCTTCTCATCCAAGAAGCTTCATCAATTCTGATGTTGGGGTGTGTGTGGAAGGATAGTACTGACAATTGAGCCTGGATAGTGGGAGGATGGAAGGATAGGTTCTGACCGGAGGGGGCGGGGGGTGGAGGATGGAAAGATTATATTCCTGTGCAGTCATCTGGACCTTAGCACTCTCTCTGAAAGCCCATGAGGCCACTTGGGGGGTTTATCTTTGCCCTCAGGGTCACCTGAATCAGAGTGCAATTGATTGTGGAATCTTCCTGGAACTGATGCAAGAGCTGTGTTGTAGACTGGAGATAGGTGGTGTCTTATCCCTCCCCCTCTGTTGAGATAGGGCTGCTCAATGTTAAAATAAAGGGCCTCTTATACCCCTCCTTCTTAAAGGGACGCGATGGCTCAGCGGCTAAGATGCTGAGCTTGATTGAAAGGTCAGCAGTTCAGCAGTTCGAATCCATAGTGCTGTGTAACAGGGTGAGCTCCCATTACTTGTCCTAGCTTCTGCCAACCTAACAGTTCGAAAGCACGTAAAAAATGCAAATAGAAAAATAGGGACCACCTTTGGTGGGAAGGTAACAGTGTTCTGTATGCCTTTGATGTTTAGTCATGCCAGCCACATGACCATGGAGACATCTTCGGACAGCGCTGGCTCTTTGGCTTTGAAACAGAGATGAGCACCGCCCCCTAGAGTCAGGAATGACTAGCACATATGAGCGAGGGGAAACTTTACCTTTACCTTACCCCAGGGGTGAAATGCTCCTGGCTCGGACCGACTCGGCTGATCTGGTAGCGATGATGGCCAGTAGTTCAGAGAACTGGTAGCGATGGCAGTTCGAGACTTCACCCACCCACCCAGAAGTTATGCACTGGCTGCGCAAGCGCACACCGTTTAATTCATTCATTCATCAGTGGCAGGTTGGGTGTGCGCTTGCGCAGCTGGTGCGTGGAACAGGGTGACGATGGAGGTGGCACATTCAAGAAGGAGAGTGGCTCCGGTAACTTTCTGGCGCTTGCCTTCCCTGGCAGCCAGGCGCGGGAAAAAGGTAAAGACATGCTGCAAGGCGAAGGGAGACGGGGCAGTGGTTCCAGGGCAAGGCTGGTGTCGGGGAATGGTGCATTCCCTGGCCCAGTTGAGGCAGGTGGCGAGCAGGCAGTGGCTCCCGGACCTCAGGGAATGGCACGTCCCTGGGCCCCAGACCCCAACCCCAAACCAAGGCGAAGGGTGAGTGGGCGGCAGCTCCGGGGCAAGTTCGGAGTTGGGGAATGGTGCATTGCCTGAACCGGTCGAAGCGGGCAGTGTCTCCAGGGCCCCGGAGAATGGCACATCCCTGGGCCCTGGCCCCCGACCCAAAGTGAAGAGAGAGCGGGTGGCGAGCGGGCGGCAGAATAGAAATTAAAAAAGTTTTCCTACCGGGTTCTGTGGGCGTGGCTTAGTGGGGGGGTCTTGTGACTGAGTGGGCGTGGCTGTGAATGACATTGAGTTGGCCACACCCACTCAGTCACAGGACACACACCCCACCAAGTCACACCCACAAAACCGGTAGGGAAAAATTTTAGATTTCACCTCTGCCTTACCCCTCCTTCAAACCAGTGATCCTCTTTATCCAACATGTGGACTTTGTTGTCTTGAAAAGAGTGGCCTTTGTCTTTCAAATGCAGATGGACCACTGAATCTTGTCCTGCAAGGTTTGATCTGCTAAGTTGTGCCATCCCCTTGTGAAGTGGTTCTGTGTCTGCTTTTGTGTTTCTCCCCATCCAAGCTCAGGCATTTGTAGCTTCCCTATCCAAGTGGGTGAAACAGGATAGGCAGATTCCTTTTCAAAGGAGACAATCCCATAAAAAATCTGGTACTAAACAATATACAACTTTATTTTATTTATTTATTAATCAAATGTATATAGATACCCATTTCGCCAAAGGTGGTTCTGGACAGTGCACAGCAATAAATAAAACAATATAAAGCATAAAAATCTTTTTTTTTTTAAATCACAGTAATAAAAATAAAGATTCTAATCATGGGAGAAACAGGATAAAAATGACCCCCATTATAAGTTAATATCAGCACCTTGAAACTTGAATTGGAAATAAAACTACTGAAATGTTCCTAAAATGTCAATTTGGTTCATGGCATTTTATAGCAACTATAGTGTCCAGGTTGTTTTCATAGACAGCCCTGGGTACTCATCACAATAGGGAGATAATAAAACTAGGAGTAACTGTCACTAAAGCCTTCTGCTCTAAGAAGTGCTGCATTTGGCAAACCAGCCAAAACTGGCCAGTGACTCCAACCGTTGCTCCAGAAGAATTATATGTTCAGGAGGAACCTGGAGTCCATGGGCCTGCCTCTCAGGAGGAGAATGACCACATCCAGAAGTGAATGATAGCTGCCAGCAAAACCAAAGATTATTGAGAAGTTCCATACGGGAAGCTCCCTAATTTTCTGAGTATAATAGGTTGTGGATATGGGCGATCAGTGCTGAAAAACCTTTATTCTGTAATTAGATAACCAAGATTTGGATGTAGTCCTCTACATCCTCTTTCACAGTCCTCTGTGAAAGGGGCAAATGTTGAAATGTGTATCCTACATTTACAATGGAAATACTGCAATTCAGGTATTGCACCAGGTGGACAGAGCACACAAGGGCTATGATAATGAAATCATCGAAACAGATCTTTATTACATTCACAGATGAGCACATATCATCAACATCATTATGATTTGCTGCAGACATCAACCCTGAATTTTGTCATTTTTACCAGTGGGGGTGTAATTGTAGAAATAAGTTAAATGATTCAGCCTGATACAAGAGTTTTATAAAAATAACTTTTGCTTTAGAATATTAAAATTAGGAGGGAACAAGGTTATAGGCCTTTATATTGAAGAAAAGACCCAAAGAGTATGACAGAAAAGCTTATTCTTTTTATAGTAATATTTGATGATTATATAGATTTTTTTAGAAGCAAAGAGGGTTTTTTTTTAAAGTAACTACTGAAAATTTTAAATATTCAAAAGACATTCTCTTAAATATTCCGTTTCAGCTACGTACATGTGCTTGCTTAAGCTGATAGCTTCAGGGTTTGGGATTTTTTAAAAGTAATTAAATATATTAGATGATATTTCACTATGTGGTTTTTGTTCTAGCATCTCTAGGCTCCAGAAATTACTCAGTTGCTATGATTCAAGTGAGCCAGTGATTCTCGGGGAACGCTATGGCTATGGTTTAGGATCAGGAGGCTATAGTTACATTACTGGTGGAGGAGGGTAAGTCATTTAAATTATTCAAAGGAGTAAAGATGCATAAGAGCAATAACTTAAGTTTTCAGTTGCTTTCATGACGGATAGATTTCTTCTCATACCAGGCTCTGCCATTATGAATAAGATTTTTGTAGTCCTACTGTCATAGAATTTTTACAAGAATATGAAATATAAAAATTTCCTAACTTTGTAAATAGTAATATGGTAATTTACAGTAGCATTTCAATAGACAAATAAACATAGCAAAAAGAAATTCAAAGCTGTGAGTACAGTTTGAGATCATTTCTGATTTATTAAAGCTGTATATTTGAAGGGCCTCTTCCCTGAAAGACTAGAAGATTGTAGCTGTAGAATATCTTCTGTGAAAGGCATGTGGGAGTGAGGCTATTACATGATTTTTCTAAAATATCCATGGCTTAGTCCAAATAAGAAAGTTGACAGGCTTTTAAAAATACTGGCTTAATGTCAGTAACCCACAGATAATAAAACAAGAGTTATTGGCTTCTCTTTTTAACCTTGTTGTATTGTGAAAGGTTTTTTTTTTTCCTCAGTTGAGTTGTATTTGGAAGTGGTATATGACTGAGCATCTAATTTGTCAATAATCCTAAAACAGATTCTGCTATCAATAACAACTAATGATATCCATTAGGTTATGTTGACTAGAGACATGGAAGAACATAGGGCATTATGACTTCATTAGGAGACCCAGAGCAGTAATAATCTGTTTGCAATGACTGCTACGAACTCATAATTGCTGTTAGTAGATAAAACTTTTTATTCAATAATAATGCTTATCTTCTTGATTATTAATTTCTTTTTGGATTTGCCTTAAAAGGATGGTCTTCAATAGAGAAGCAATCCAAAAACTGTTTGCTAGTAAGTGCAGGTGCTACAGCAATGATGCCCCTGATGATATGGTAATTGGAATGTGTTTCAGTGGTTTAGGAATTCCTGTTACACACAGCCCTCTCTTCCATCAGGTGAGTGTCATTATATGTCACTAAGTATCTCATGGTTAATATTAGTTCAATTTCCTTAAAACCTAATTAAAATGATACAACAGCTGGGAAATATATTACAAAACCATTCCTGCTTTTTCTTAGAATCTTTACTACTTAGACCTGAGAATAGGGATGCAAGGGCATTTCAAAACTGTAAGTAGAAGGCTGTAACTTTGGCAATGAAATACAGTACACACATTATTAATAGGATAGTAAAAGATTTATTTTTTTTTTTGGTCTGCTCAAATTAAACCCTTCCAGAATAATAAAGTGGAAACAGGTGAACATACAATGAATATCCTGATGCTTCAAATCATACTTATTTTCATAAATATTATTAATATTTATCAATATCTGGCTTTGATACAAATTCCAACTAGAGCATCTTCTCACAACACAGCTGTCAAAATATTACAAGACGTGTTTAGATCATTTTTTAAAAAAAATTCAGGAGAGATTAAATATTTCATTGTAGTTTTAACCACAGATTTTGTGGTTTTCAATTTCCACATATAACTACACAATATTCTTCCCTAAGTTGTGTTTTATCATTGTTCAAACAAATGTAATTTCCAAAATATACAATAGTGGCCAAAATTGTGGAAGCCTTTTTGGAAAAGTGTATTTTCTAAAACTAGCTAATAACACCACTTTTTTTTTGGAGTAGTACCATAAAATTATATATCAATAGAAAGATAATTTAATCAAGAATGTAATGCAGTAACTTTTATGAAGGATTTGCTATTAGAATAGCAGTTACAGTATAAAAAAGAAAAGTGAAACACATAGAATGAGATATACCAAAATTACCACCATAGAAAAAATGATATATACCAAAATTACCACCATAGAAAAAATGAGATATAAAAAAATTATCATGTCAGTTAATACTTAGTTGGGTAACCTTTAGCATGAATTACGGCCTTACAACGTCTTCCCATGGAGTGGACCAAGTCTTTTAGTTCTGCAGCTGTTATAATGTGAAACCAGGTTTGAATGATTGCTTCTATTAACTGGGTTTTGTTGCTGGGTCGCTTCTGACTAACAAGTTTCTTTAGTCGGCTCCATAGATTTTCAATTGGATTAAGGTCTGGGCTATTCCCAGGCCATTCCAGCAGTGGAATATGATTATCTTGAAACTCAAAAAAAAGTGGTGTTATTAGCCATCAAACCTCAAAAATACATTTTTCCTGAAAGGTTTCCACAATTTTGGCCACTACTGTAATGCCTTTTTAACATGTGCTGATTATCACCAAATTTATTTAGAACCCTTTTGTAATGGTAACGTGAAAGCAATAGAAAATGCTGACAAAGGGGGATTATATGAAAAATGGACTCCTAAAGTTTCAGTGAAACATGAATATCATTTAAAAACTCATGTAATTAGTATAACTTCTGAAAAATGTTGAAACGTGAAGAAATGATCATATGATTATATTGATATCAGACGTATTTAGTGGCTGGGGCAACTTTTTCTGTTTCAAATAAACAATTATTTATTTAAAATATTTATATTCTGCTTTTTTCATAAGTATGCAAACTACATTAAATAATAAATTAACAATTTATACATATTATTAGCATTCTCATATCAACAATTAGCAGCCATTTCATGTTTAGACTATAGAGTTGGTTTCTAATAGGAAATGGTCCAATGCTATTTCACTTTATCCTTCTAGAAGATATAGACTCTGGGGAATCTACTTAAATACTCTTAATTTTTGATAAGTATATAATTAATGTCCTGGGATGATCTTGTTACTGTAACTGTTAGCTGAACAATTCAGATTATGAAATTGTTACCTCTTAAGCTTTTATTTCAATCTGTCTTCTCATTATGCGGCAAGTAACCAACTTATTATGCCAAAATGCTTAACTGCAGATGAAGAAATGCTTTGGTGCTATCCAAAGTCATCCAGTTTTTCATCTATTCAGCCTTCTGGTACAATATAGCCTCAAGAAAGCATAAATCCTCACAGTAATTTTAACATTCTGCAGAGTCATAAGGCAAAATGTATGAATCTTAATATGAAAGCAGAATAAAAATTGATTAAATAATAAATTAAAATATAAAACAAATTAGGTAGAGGAAATTCTATAATTCCAGATCACAACTATCCATTTTGCATATTGATGTTTGATTAGCAGCAACTTTTCAGGGATGCTGTATTTGACTCATGAAAAAAGAAGTTCCTGGAGATGCCACACACTGAATTGCAAAATAATTTTATTATAAAATAAATATGAAAGTTTAAGGACAGAGCATAAATAACATTTGCTATGTTGAAAATTAAGTCAGATTTTAATCATTTTTACAGTGCAAGCACAATTCTTAAAGTATAGCCCATTCATTTATTTATTATTCTTATTTCTTGGGATTTAGTTTAACATTTAAATTTCAAATGGAGAAAGCAAAACAGATGAGGAAGCAAAATGTATATTCAAGTTACCTTCATATACAAGTAGCTGATCAAAATTGATACATTCTTGTGTTCTTTAAAAATTCTCTTTATTGTGGAAGCAAAAGGCAACTATCATGTATAAGATTATTTGCTTCTGTTTAAATATTTCACTAATATGCATTGTAACATTATGAGAAAGTGAAAAAACAAATGCTGTTGTGGTTCTAAGAATGTATTCATGAATAAATGGTTTTCAATTGCCATATTCAATCAGCCGTATCCTTAATAGACTTTCCATATTCCCGAGATCTCAATATATTTACAGTGTTTCTCCAAAAAGAAGTCCAGATCTTATTTCTTTTGACCCTTGAAAAAACGGCTAGGTCTTCTTTTTGAAGGGTTCTAATTATTGACTCACGTTGTGGCGGTGGCACCAACAGCCATGCCCAGGAGGAGTCCGCTGCTGGCCCACTTCTTCTGTGGCCACTTGCCACAACTCCAGATCGATCCAGAGTTCTATTATCGGCTGCAGATGCCTTCCAGCATACATCTGAAGGCGAAACGGAGGCCAGGGCGATGCGTGCAGGCGGTGGCAAGCAGCCGCAGAAGAAGCAGCCGCAGAAGAAGGCAAGGCAAGTGTCAGGGTGTGTGATGCCTGGTAAGTAGAGCAGCTCCACCACCCCCATCCCCACCCTAGCTTAATTTTTTACCTGTGTGCCTCACCCCACTCCCTCACCCTGGGGTGGGCAGGGTCTTAATTAGGGCTAATTTTGAGGGTGGGGCTTAATATGATCGCATGCACTCAAAAACATGATAGGGCTTCTTTTCAAGGTGGGTCGTCTTTTTGGAGAAATACAGTATTTATTTATATATACAATATATGGTATAAAGTACAATGTATCTTATGGACTATCCAGTACCACAGTTCTCATGGCAGACAGATTGTAGAATTTGGAGGAAAAAACAGTGTTTTATATCCTTTTATATCATCTAAGCATGAAGGTAATATTATTCTTAAGTGCATAATTTAAATCCATACTTTAATAAGGAGGACTAATAAAATGCTCATTTTTTTAATTTATATTGCTTCAAAGGCCAGAAGCTATGCTTTTCCCTTCATTTCAGTACCTACTTTCTCAGGCCTAACTACCTTTCTCTTAAATAACACAATATTTTTAACTTACTGGAAAAAACATGCTTAGCTTTTCTATTTTCTTTCAGAATGTAATCTTTTGTTGACAGTAGAACAATTTGTTTTATCCATTATTGGTTATCAGATAATGGGATTTAGTAATGCTTCTCCTAAAAAGAAAAAATACAGCTTTGTTTACCATATACACAGTGGTTACATTAGCTATTTGCAGCCATTCAAATTGTATATGCAAAGTTTCATTGGAATAATAATAGCCCTGTCTCACTGCCATATTAGATTCATCTTGTCACAAAGACCTACATTTGTAAAGGTCAGGGTGAACAGATTTTCTACAAAGACACCGTACATTCCTACTGTGCTTATCATGTCATCCACTTCACAGGGCTGTATCTGTATCTGATTTAAGAATACATTATCTTTGCTTCTTTTTTTATAATTGAAGAAATTATTTTATAAGTATGCAACTCATTCTCTCTTTTACTTCAATTCTAGGCTCGCCCAATGGATTACCCGAAGGACTTCCTATCCCATCAAGTTCCAATATCATTTCATAAACACTGGAATGTTGATCCAGTAAAGATTTATTTCACATGGTTGGCTCCAAAAGTACAAGATTTGGAATATGGAAGCAAACATGTCAGAGAGGATTTATAATCTGTGAAAGTATTTAAATATTGTTATGGTCTTAATATTTAGAATGTAGATAAAATTTTATTGCTCTATTTATAATTATTTGTTGCCCATATTGTACAAGACAATATGGACACAATCCAGTACCACTTTTTGGCACAGTATGCTGCTTTCTTCCTTTTGGACCACTATAATTTGTATCCCATAATTAGAACCACTGTTTAGGGATATAGTGTCTGCACAAGGCATTTAACCTCTCCACTGCCACATTGTGCATTACTTTGTGTAGGTACTAATGAAGGATAGGTTGGAAATAAGTTTATATTAAATCTTGTGAGTGTACACCGCACAGGATCCACAGTTATTACTAGACCATGCTCTGAATATTGCTGCTCTAAATCAAATGAATGCAAACTTTTATTTGTGCATTTATTCCTTCTTTTTATTGGCCTTAAAGTTTTAAAATTAATGCTTTTGTCCTAGAATTTTGTAATCATTACCACCTTTAAGATGCTTTTGCCAGTTCATCAACAAGTTTTTCTTTGTTCTCTCCAATTCTTTTGCTTCCCAAAGAAAAGAATACATTTTGAAGGAAAGAAAATACAATAGCTCTTCCACATACATATTTTATCTCATGTAATCATTTTGCAATTATTTAAAATAGGCACAGCAGAATAGGATAAAATGTTTGCCCAGAATCAGAGTAAAAAGTATTGCCTTCATTTTGTTTCTTCATCTAGCAAGGTTTAAGTGCCGTGTGACAATAACACGGCATTCTGTTTCCCATAAGAACTTTAATTGCTTGGAATCAATTCAAGAAGCAGCAGTTACTGGCAAGGATTGCACATGCTTCAAAAATGGTTAGGAAGAAATGTTTCACCTTCACAGCAGCTCAGCATTTTTTATTTTTTGATACTCATTAAAACAGCCCCTTTTTTCAAGCTTCTGTGCAAGTCTGCGTCTGCTTTAAGAGCCTTTGTGTTGTGCTTGCCCAAACATCCAAAGCACTTCTGTTGAATCATTTTTTAAATGCACACAGCTCTACTGATTCTTCATTTTTTCCCTCTTCTAACAGCATTGAAATACTAATGGAACAAATAAACTGAATGCAGTGAATTAAAAAGTAAATTAGGATCATTAGATGAAACATCTAATCTACCATCATCTCAGACTCCCTTTCGTCTTAAAAAACATACAGGCAAAATTTATTGTAGCCTTAATTTAAAAAATTGTATTTGGTACACTATCCTCTCCTAACTTTTCTAATACTGTAAAATTTCTTCCATCAAAGGCAGTTAAAGATATAAATCAATCTTTGCTATATTGTAACCAGAAAAATTTTTAAAGCGGTATTGTAGTTTTGTGGGGCTTTTTAATAGCACAAAGCATTGTGGTCCAAAGCACTGTCATTCTTAGACCATTGGCCAATTTGGAAAATTAATTATTTAACCAAAATCAATAAAGCAGTATACACTTACTATGAATGTAGCTTGGATTTTTTTTAAGTGTACTCAGTGGTCTGACTCAAGATGACTTGAATTGAAGTGTTTGAATTAAACGAGTCACTGTTTTTTATAGTTTCTGTATTTCCTTCTCTCAGTGCCTTAAACAATGGATACATCTGCTGATTCAGATCTACTATGCTTTTTGTACTGAATGGGATGGATTATTATTTATGTTTACCGTGTGAAATAAAACAAAATGGTTCAAAATAGAATAATATATCGTACTGTTACTTTTTGTCAACAGAGTAGGAGCTGAGAATTCAAGAAGACCCCCAAATTGCTAGGAAGAGTGCTACCCCATTTATAACTGAAGATCAAAAGTCAACAAATCTAGGGGGACTAAAATCAATAGCTACTCAGTCTTCTCAGGAATAAGCTGAAGTCCATTCTTCCCCAGACTCACACAATCTCCAGGGAAAGAATAATGAAACAAGCACTTGGTCTGACATGGAGCAGAACTATACAACACCATTGGGAAGATGCTCCTAACACTCACATGATGAATGAGTGACCAAGCAAGCTGAATAAGTAAGAAGAAAAATATGCTTTCCTGTAATCTAAAACCATATGCCACGCCCTTCACTACCCTTCATTTTTGGCATGTTTTTTTTATGGCTTCTTCCCCTCCTCCTCTCAATTACTGACACTGGAACATCTGTTCCTTCCAATGTCTTGCTGGCAAAAAAAAAAAAAAGACTTTAACTCACAATCTCCATGGATCTCCGTACACAGAACAGAGTGAGAGATCATCAATATGTAGATGACACCCAACTTTATATCACTACCCCAGGCCCTTTAAGTGATGCTGTGGACATCCCACCCCAGTGTCTGGAAGCTGTTGGGACTGGATGGGCCAAACAGGATCAGACTCAATGTCTGTAGAGATTCTCAATTATCCAGGTCATAGTTGTCCTAAAGGTGATTTTCCAAAAGGCAACTGGACTTTCTGAAGAAGCTTCTTGGGTGAGAAGTTAGAACTGAAGAAGCTTCTTCGATGGGAAATAGAACTTTTTCAAGGAAAAACCAAGAAAGTCCAGTTGACTTTTGAATAAGCACCTTTGGGACTCTTGACTCAACCGTAGCAAGACAGAGTGGCTGTGGATAGGATATTTGTATCTCCAGAGACAAAGTTCTTTCATCTTTGATTCTGAATGGGGTTGCACTACCCTCAAACACCCAGCGTACAATATGAGGGTCCTCCTGAAAGAGCAGGTGGCAGCCATTGCTAGGAGATCCTTTGTGCACCTTTGACTGGTGTGCCAATTGTGCCATTCTTGGTCTGGGAGGTGGTGCTCAAAGTAACCCATGTCTTTGTAGCTGCTCATTTCGATTACTGCAACATGCTTTACATGAGGCTGTTCCTGAAGTGCAAATAGCAGGACAAGCCCATATCAAGAATAAGAATCTGCTCACCATTTACAACACAATGAACTAGACAATCAACCACAATGAACTTGACTATTTTTAAAACATTCTCTATGGTACCCACTAAGCAAGAAAAAGAACCTTTTGAATGGTTTGATTTTAAGGTCATAAAAATATACTTAACTACTATTTAAGAACTTCACAATTAAAGAGTTCTTGCAAATAACATCAATCTTAGCAATGCTTTTTAATTGTGTGTGTGTACATAGATACACATACATACACACAACCAAACTATGAACATAGAATCCTCCAAAATACATTCCGATATCAACAGTAAATTCGGAGTTTTAGATTATGTTAAAGCATCTCAAAATTTGAGAATTTTAATATGTGTAGATTTCAACTAGAATTCTCTAGCCTGGGAAAACATGATTGTGAAATCAAGATTTCAGTGAATACTGCCATTTAAATTTTTTTGACTATCTAAATTTCTCTTTTTGTAACTTAGTTTAAAGCATGTTTGACAATATGCTGTTCTACAGTAATAATTAACATAATGATAATGTTCAAGATTGCCAGACAAAGACTATTATACTATGGTTGTGTCATGTGAGCTGACTCACTCAAAAAAATCAATCATGCTGAGAGTGATCAGTGGAAAAAGAAGTCGTAATATTCTTTGGCTGGACATTATAAAGGATGACATCGGGATGAGCATAGCATAGAGAATCTGAAGGAGGTGGTGCAAGACAGAGGGGCATGGAGAATGTTGGTCCCTAGAATGGCCAAGAATTGGATATGACTGGCTGACAACAACAATGACAATGATAATGTTCAAATTCAAATTAGGATTATTCCAAGGCATACATTTCTTGCATTATTATTCTTAGACATTATGCTTTCATACTAACTTCTTCCAATGTGTCTGCAACCTCCTATTTGGATTGATGCAATATGCTGTACATGGAGCTGCCCTTGAAAAGCATTCAGAAGCTGAAATGCAGAACACAACAGCATGGGCAGTTTTCACCATCTGTCGCTATGACCAAATAACACTTCTGCTCCATGAACTACACAGATTCCCCAGGGGCAGGTGCTGGTGCTGGTTTTCACCTGTAAAACTCTGTACATAGCACAGGACCAGGCTACTAGCAGGACTGCTTTTCTTCCACTCTTCCCCTCGCCCCACAGATCTACTACAGCAGGCAAGCTCCAGGTTCCCTTTTGTAAGGTAAGGCCACACTTGGAAAACTGCATCCAGTTTTGGTCGTCACAATGTTAAAAAATATTGAGACTCTAGAAAGAGTGCAAAGAGCAACAAAGATGATGAGGGGACTGAAGGCTAAAACGTATAAAGAATCATTGCTGGAGCTGAGTATGTCTAGTCTGATGAAAAGAAGGACTAGGAGTGACATGATAGCAGTGTTCCAATATCTCAGGGGCTGCCACAAGGAAGATGGAGTCCAGCTATTCTCCAAAGCACCCGCGGGCAGGACAAGAAGCAATGGGTGGAAACTAATCAAGGAGAGAAGCAATCTGGAACTAAGGAGAAATTTCCTGACAGAACAATTAACCAGTGGAACAACTTGCTTCCAGAAGCTGTGAATTCTCCAACACTGGAAGTTTTAAAGAAGAAATTGGATAACCATTTGTCTGAAGTGGTGTAGGGTTTCCTGCCTAAGCAGGGGGTTGGACTAGAAGATCTCCAAGGTCCCTTCCAACTTTGTTATTCTGTTCTGTTCTATTTTGTAAACAGTTTTATTTTGTTGGGCCTAGAAGTTGTGTCCTCTATAACAGCCCCTCCCTTATGGAACAGCATCTCGTAGAGAGGTCCTGACCCTGTTAGCCGTTCGTAAGGTTCTGAAAACGTAGCTGTTTCCCCTGGCATTTGAGCCAGAGTCTCTGCTGTTGATTTCATTGTATGATTTTATAGTTGGAAAGAATTTATCGCAAGACATCATGGAGTATTTTTTTAAAGTATTGGAATTTTAATCTACAGAAAATGCGCTATAATGCGCATTATAATGCGCTATAAGATCTCAATAAACTCACTTTTTAAAAAAAATGAATGAAAGGGCTCCCAATTCCTCCTCCCAAAATCTGGGAGGAAATCAGAAAATAAGTGGCATGAAATTGTGCATGCATTTTCACCCTCTAAATGCAGTTCTGCTCCAAACAAATACTCATGTCAACAGGCTGTTGCCCATCCTAGCATGATCCCAACCAATTTTATCATGAATTTTCTTGAACGATGGAATATTTTTCCTTTTGGGGTTTCAAAAATGAAAGGATCTTTGCAAAGGTTCCGCAATGTAACACATTGTTGTTTGGGATTTATGCTTTTGGCTCTGTCAAGCATTAAGGCTTGGATTGCAAATGGAAATCAACTTTTGAGATGCAAGCTAACGCTTGCTGCAAATCACTTGATTTCTCAGCCAGTAGCAGGGCATTGTCTGCATATAAAAGTACGTATAGATTCATGTCCCCAGCCAACATACCTTTTCCCTCCAAGCATTCCTGTTACATTTATCTGTAAATAAGATTAGACAATCGAAGAGGCACTATACAACTTGTCCCTGCATAGTATTAAACAATTTGCTAAGCACATAATTTATTCTCATGCACGTTTTACTTCTGTCATATACTGTTCTTATTACATTCAGCAACTAACCGCAACATTCTATTCATAGAAAGCATTTCTTAATTCAAGCTATTCATTTTCTCGTGTTTAATCAGTGAACATACGATAAAACATCTTTTGTATATTCGTACATTTCTTAATGACTTGGTGGAGAATAAAAATATGATCTCCACATACATTACTTGATATAAAGAAACATATTGCACATCCCAGATTTTGCTTAATGTTCTCTTTTGTGTACTTTCAATCAAATTTTTGAATGTGCCTTATTTCATTGAAATGTTGGTTCAAATAGCCATGGGGTTTCTAGTAGGAGCAATGGGTACCAGAGACATCTTCAGGGCGTGTCAACAGTATCAAGATAATGGGATGCAACCAGATCAATTTATTTATTTATTTATTCATTTATTTATTTATTATATTTCTATACCGCCTTTCTCCCGTAGGACTCAAGGTGGTGTACAGTCAAGAAAAATATAGACACACAAACATCATAAAATTGCTAATTAAAATTATTACTTAGTTTGGTCAATTAAATAAAATCCAGAATTAGATAACATTTTAAATAAATAACTAAATAAACATGTTCATATGTTTAGCCCCGCCTGTTGAAACATCAGGGTCTTGAGGGCACGGCAGAAAGCACGGAGATCAGGGATATTCCGTATCTCCGGGGGCAGTTCATTCAGGGGGACCTTTTGTCAGGTTCGCCTGATTCGCCAGTTGCGGCCCTTTCTTGATCGGGATTCCCTGTGCACAGTCACACATGCCCTCGTCACCTCTCGCCTTGACTACTGCAACGCTCTCTACATGGGGCTCCCCTTGAAGAGCACCCGGAGGCTCCAACTGGTCCAGAACGCAGCGGCGCAGGTAGTGACGGGAGCAGCATGGCGCTCCCATGTAACACCGCTCCTGCGCGAGCTGCACTGGCTCCCAGTGGTCTTCCGGGTGCGCTTCAAGGTGTTGGTTATCACCTTTAAAGCGCTCCATGGCATAGGGCCTAGCTATCTTCGAGACCGCCTGCTGCCACCGACGACCTCCCATCGACCCGTGCGCTCCCACAGAGAGGGCCTCCTCGGAGTGCCATCAGCCAAACAGTGCAGGCTGGTGACCCCCAGGGGGAGGGCCTTCTCTGTGGGGGCACCTACCCTCTGGAATCAATTGCCTCCAGAGATAAGGAGAATCCAAGACCTCAGTGCCTTCCGC